ATCGTCCATTACTGTCACACAATCACTGTTGGTAAAGAATAAGTTGATTTAATTTTTTAGGCAGATTTACCTCTGTATGATCAATTAAAAGGCATATAAAGCCGACTAACAAAAGCAAATGAAGCCACAAGGGAAGATCTTATCTAGCAGTTTGAAGCACATGCTGCCAATGGGAAGTGTTGGGCAAGCTGATTAACAGTGTTTCAACAATGAATGACACATTTTACACTAAAAGCCAGCAGGGTATGACTTTTTCGAGACGTTCTGCTTTGTAGGGTGCCAAAACTGACTCAAACCTAAAACTCCTCCCAGGAGCTTTAATTTCATCACCCTACCATTAAAGGAGGTGTCTGCATATGCAAAACTCACACCCCTGATTCCTTCTAGACTAAAACATTTAATTTTTTACTGATTGTCTCATTATTTTAACACAACACCTGTTATTTAGGAAATAATTAACCATAAGATGACATCAATACTGGAGAAAATTTTACAAGCCCAGCTGTTCTGAGCTCTTGATTTCTTTGCTCCAAATAAAGGTTTTATAGGGTGATGAACCTTTAAATTTTGGTTTAACTTCCCACATTACATGTAGCCAATATTGGTTTACTTTACTCAAACACATGGGTTAAATTACAGTACTGCAGCATGATAGTGATGGCCTGTTTCGCCGTGCTGACAACTATCAGGACTCATTTATTAATGGACATTAGAGACAATTTGGAGCTGATTTATATCTGTTTTTTCTTGGATATTGTACTCTTATTATTCTTTGAATCTGTAAAGGACTGTTAGTTCATACTTGGCTGATGTCAATCTCTGGAAAAAGATGACATGAACTAAATCACCTCAGTTTTTCTTCGAATGAAGTGTGTCTTAGTGTGATAAATCCAACAGACTGTTGATGGAAATAAACATCAATATCATTCTGAGAAACTCACGTCATATCCATGGAGGGGCGTTGATTTCAACACCGTACAATTTTTATGTGATGTTGGAATTATTCAAACCGAAGGGGCTGATTTTCAAACATTGTTTTAGTTAGACCCAAGTCAAGGATAAACTGAACAAAAATATTTCTATCCTTCAAAATAAGTTAACTTTTTCATATTTCTCCACAGATTTCATAATGGGAGGTAAAAAGACAAAAATTAAAAGGCACCACCTGTGGATTGTGTTGATACCCTTAAGTTTAAGTTTTATTGTAACTGCCATTGGGACCAAACGAATGAATTATCTTTATGAACTTATTTATCTGCACAAAAGTAAACATTCGTGTTAGGATCAGAAGTCTGTATTTGAGCCACAAATATGTTTGACTCTGTGTCGTGAAGAAAACTGATGAGACTTCCTGGCTTCTTGGAATGCCTCAGAAATGATTGATTTGACCTCCGCGCCACTGAAAACCTTCTCAAAATCATTTTCCTCTCTTTTTGAGGACAGTCCAGACAAATTTTGCATGTCCCCTGTGTGACATTTGCATCATGATATTGCTGTTCCAGGAAACCCAAGATCCTTGAACTGCAAGTTTCTGACAATGACATCAATTTCTTTTTGTGGTCCAGAGTGAGGCCTCTGTGTGACTTACTATTTACAGTGAAACTAAGACTCACCAGAGTATGTAATAAACCAAGATATGATAGTGTTGAGTTGGTCAATGTGTCTTGTGGGGCAAAATTTTGTTTTTTGTTTCTTAGTTGTTCAGTTGCACTCGGTTAGAGGTTGAAACTTCAATAAAACTGTTATTTTTTTTTCTCATTGTTCTTCCTTTACTCTGCTTATTGTAAATCACTATACCAAATTTGTCATGGTTTGGAGTTAAACAAAAAAAGAAACAGAAACATTCCCAAAGGCAAAAAACACAAAATCCAAAACCCAACAAAAGACACAGGGAGGAAGAAATCACTAGGAGACACTGGGGACACTGGCATACAGACACGCAGACATACAACACAATGAACCAACAAGGAAACAGGGACAGGGACTATAAATACACACACAGGGAAACGAGCAACGAGAGGCAGGTGAGACACTGAGACACAGGTGCAGACAATTACTAAGGAGGGAAAACTGAGGAAGTGAAACAAGACTAGAAACACAGGGAATAAACTACTTCAAAATAAAAACAGGAAACACTAAAAACTGATATAAGGAATAAAACACTGAGAACATGAGGGAACCGGGGTCAGACACAAACTGAAAACTCACAAGACAAGACTACAGAGGAACAGGAACAATGGGGAACAGAGACACTAGGGGAAATACAAAGAAAATTAACTCCAGGGAAACACAAAACCAGGGAAAAACTAAAAACCAGAACATATCATGACAAAATTATGGCTTCACACAGAGTGTTTATCATTCTGTTCATCCCCCTTTACTCCAAATGGCGACATCACTTCAGACCATGGCTGGTGTGTGCTGAGATCAGCTTAGCATTACTGTTACTGGTTTTGTTTGAGACCTAAAAACAATGAAAATATCGTGTAGGATGTATTTTCATGACACTGTTTTGTATAAGATAAATGCAAAACTTAACTTATTTATACAACTCATGTATGAATTCTATTCTATTCTAACAAACATGGATAATACTGTGATGGACCAATGGGCCAATGGTGGTGGATGGCTTCTCTCAATACAACTTGACTGAGAATTATAGATGACATAAAACTTGGGACATGAGATGGGTATAAATAAAGTTCTTCTCATCTCATCTTATGTGGAACAAGTTTGTTCCCATTCTACCAGTATCAGTTCCTTCAGCTGTATGTTTTTGTCACCAGCATTAAGTTAAACTCTCCTGAGTAGTTTGTTTAGGAATTTCACTGATGATACAAACATAATCCACCATTCTGTTCTTGATATCTTCTTGTGGATAAAGCCAATTTCATACCTCAATTCTGCAGAAGTAAATCATAAAACCTCCAAAGAAACCCAGCCTGAGATAGTCACTCGCAGCTTATGCCAAGTGGTCTGGATAAGATCTAAAACAAATGTTCGACTTAAGCATGTGATTATCTGATCATGTTAGGTCATAATTGAGATCATCTTACATAATAAACTGAAGAAAAATGAGACCAAGTTGTTTCTCTCACATATGGTTTCTGAGTTATTCGATTTTTTCCCTCTTACAATACACCATCCCTCTGTATCTTAGTCATAACTATCCATATTTGAAACTACTTTTCACTTTTCACACTGTTAAAAAATGCAAACTTTCTCCGCCAGAGTGTTGCACATCAAACTGCATTAGCACGACTTCTTTTCATCACCTTGTTATCAACACTCTGACAGCATTCAGCAGTTGTCATGGAAGGTTTAATTCCCCCCTACTGTTGCTGCCGCCATGTGTGAGCTTTCCTGGATTTTTAATGATGTTGCAAGAGCTACTCTACACATGCAGAACTTTTTTATAATCTCCAACCCAACAATTCCATGTTTTTATTCTTCTCAGAAGGAAAATATGATACACTGTAGGAAAAAAATGGTCCAAGTGAATTAAGTTCTTGTGTCATTGAGTAGTAAGCCAACATGTGCCACAGTAAAAAAGAGCATGCTGTAACTATTACGCAATCCACCAAACTTGGCATGCTTTTGTGTAATGTTTATGTGCATGTTCTCATCATACAGACTCCTGTTCGAGAGACAAATGTACAGCAGTGGGGGATTTACAGGCTGAATGAGATGATAGAAACCATTGGACAAACAATCAAAGTCATTTATGGAGAATCTTGTGTATTAACACATATGAGTAAGGCATTCTCTGACTGCTTGTTTCACCATTATATTAAAAACAAACAAACAAACAAACATAAATTGAAATATCCTGATCAAGGTTGTAATAGTTTTGAAATTTTTGTGGGTTTTGAATTTTTTATTTTGACCTTTGGTTTTGGATTTTAGTTTGGTTGTAACTAATTTTTTAAGGCTGTATTTTATTTCATTTCATTTTATTTTATTCATCTGAGGATGTGTAGTTTTAGCTCCTCTTGGGCCTAAAGGTCCTTACACTCTGGCAGCGTTTTTTTCCATACGATTATTTCAGACGGTTTTTTTCGAACCCGTATCCTGTCAATACAAGCTTTTACATCAGCGGTGTTTTCCCATCCTGCGATATTGGGGCAGTTATTTTTTGTGTCACAGTCGAATTTTCTAAAGTTTCACATTCTGCTTGTTCACTTCTGACCAATCAGATTTCGTGATGTTGTGACTTCAGATCCACTGGTGAGTGCTTTTTGATAAGAAGACACAAAATATTACAAAGATAACGACCTGGAGGACAACTTGTGGAGAGTCATAGCGTTGGATTTCTCATATGACGATGGTTTGTGTGCTTTAACAGTTTGCTAAACGTCTTTGTTTTAACTTTCATCTGTGCTAAGTAACTTTAGCTTGTAAGCTAACCTGTTCAGATACAACATACCATATGTATTTTCACTGTCTCAAACTCAATCACGTTGCTGTCACAGCACCATTAGGTCTTGGTTGTTACCTTACGTTTATGGATTGTAGTTTAATGTTATTATCTGGTACTGGCCCCGACTCAGTACATGCTATCATGACAGACAGCCATCTCAACACTAGTGTCTAATCAGAACTGAAAAACAGTCAGTCTGGTGTTGTGCCAGTCTTCTCACTTCCACCCGGGATGCATCTTTTTTCCCTCTGGAAAGTCGCAAAATAGCATCGCACTTGATGTGTATGGTCAGGCGTGTCAAAATTCGCCTCCGAATATTGCGTAATTTCTCGTTCTATATTCGCGTCAGCCCCGGTGTGTAAGGACCTTAAGTCCTCTTGGGCCAGCTAATCATCCCTGGTTGGGTTGCCATAGTGAGAGTGTCTGATAGACCTGCTATTAGACCCTGAGCTCGTCACTAATTAGTATTAGTATGAATGATCTGATAAAGAGCTATAGCTTCCTATTAGTATCAACCTTGATAAAAAATACAAGAGGTCGATATCAACACTTGAAGTTCACAATGACACTGACATGACTGTAATCGCTATGTGAACTTTATTCACATTTGTTTGTTTGAGGGAAAACAAGTATTTCATGAAGCCTTGTGTGACAAAGACATCAACAAGACTAACCCATGCAATACAGCACAAAACATTCTGGGTTTTTTTGAGTCAATTCACTCAAAGAAACTTAAAAAAAAAAAGAAACTTCATAAAAATTCACTGTATTTTTAAACACCATGAAATTATTTACAGAGGTTCAGTACAGCATCTAATTGGAGCAACAGAATGACACTGTATCATTTGTCATAATCATAAAAAAGCATCCATAACACAGAATGCCAGCACCATAAAAAGCATTAAAAAACCCTCCCAAACTGCCCTTTTACAATGTGACGTATTCAGAGAAAAGCACTGATCTTATGAAAAAATGGTATAATAAATTTCACACCATCTGCCCCATAAAAAAGTTCATATTTCCCTTGCAGATGTGAGTAACTTATGACGTTTTCTAATACTATTGCATTACTATGACACACCATGCCTTTCAAATACAAAATATTCCGGATGAAACAGTAAACAACCAGTCTTATTGGTTTTACAAAAGAACAGACTGATTTGATTTCCCCCCATTAGTCCACAGTTTTTCAATCCTCAAGTGCTTGACCAGGAGCACTGGAGCTGCATTCAGTCTCTGCGGTGAGCCCGACGGTGTTTTCTCACTGGTTGATTTGCTGCCTTGGCTTGTGGTGACGCCTGACCAGCCTTGCTCTCCTTCTCATTCCAGCTGTAAAAGGGGAAACAGGAGATGATGAAGGAGATAAAATATATGAGACATGAGAAAATAAATGGAGGGATTCAAAGTTAGAGGATGGAAGGGAAAGACATTGAAACAATCGCAATTCGAATCTTGAAAGTTGGCTTTACAATGCACCATTTTTAGCAAAAACTTGCGACACAGATTTGTGCTCTCACCTGGACCTTTCCTGGCAGCAGCAAATTTACCTCCCTCTGAAAAATTAAGCGATTCCATAATCAGTTGCTGAGTTTACATTAACATATATCAGTCATACACAAAGATCTCCGGAGTTCAACAGCAGTTTTGAATTTTCACCTTTAATGATTTTGGAAATTCTCTCTGACTCCTCGTCGATCAGATTCGGGTTGCCATGGATGGTGGTGATTCCTGAGAGGTCCGTGACTGAAAATTTAAAACAAAGCTGTTAGACCCAGAAGGGGGATAATACGCCTCTTGTCATACAAAACACATAAATCTATCTCTGTTTGAGAACAAGAGTTTGTGTGAAAACACCCTACCCTCAATGACATGAGGCTCAATCCCTGCGGTGAATCTGGTTCCACCTTCAGACGGGCAGCGGAGAAGGGTGTTGAAAGTCATTTAACGACTTAACAACTGGACTGACTGACAGACAGACAGACTGACAGGTGCTTTAACCCCATGAAACACCTCCTCCGCCACCGCCAACACAGAGTCAAGCACAGATGTGCAGTTTTTGTAAACATATACACACATTCATGCACAGGATGTGAAGTATGTGTGTGCAGAGGCCACTTATGGAAAAAAGAGCAAATTTGTCTTGTTTGCCAACAAAATGAGCTGCAAGCCCGGTGAAGTACTTGCAGTTGGAAACAGTTTAAGGCTCATCTGCTCCTTTTGCCAACTAGCAAATGTTCTGTGTTTTACTTTGCACACTGCTCACATTTATGCTTCACAGCTGCATGAGTCAGAGAGTAAGTAACGGTGGGATTCTTGCCTGAGAGACAAGAAACCTGATGTAGAAATGGTTAAGTGGTGAGGCTACAGACATCCAAATCATGGTGCACCACGGGAACTAGATTAGTATGCAGAAAAACTTGGCTTTGTACGCAGCTCTGCCTAACCAGGAGACTGTGAGTCAAAACACATCGTCTTCCTCTGGAGCATCATTGCCAAGCCTGTATCATCATCATAAACCGTAATGAGCTAGTGTTGTTTTTAATTGTGGCAGGCCTACGCCCAATCTCAAGGAACAGAGCATTCAAAAGTGTGTTTGCACATATCTGGCTGTCCATTATTGCAAGATTTTTTGTTCATAATCTTACTTCTATGCAGCATTAAAGCAGCCGGCATTCAACATAACTTCTTCAAATATAAAACATTCAGTGGCACTTATTTCCTTCACTGGATTGCAAGAAAATGGAAGAGGACGAATATTATCTTTGAGCTGTTTTTCTTCATGATATGTATTAAACTGTATGTCATGGAATTCTCTGGAGAAATAAGTCAATGCTAATATTGATAAACACCATGAAATGTTGAAAAGACAGGTTCAACCAGCAACAGAAAATCACCCTGGCACCCAGCCACAGAAGCACAACAAACAAACCATTTGGCTTATGACATGTCCTTGTGTTAGCCCGTAAGATAACATACAAAAGCTGCAAGAAGCTGCAAATCAGTGGCTGCCAAGACAAGCGAGTTACTATTTATACGCACTTATATTATTGTTAAACATTTCCAAAACAGCACTGAGTTCTAAACAAATTTTTAAACCTGCCTAGAATGAAACAGCTAAAATATATATATATATATGCTAAAAAATGCTCACCATGAGAGTGATATGTCTGTTGTTTTAGTTCAAGATCAATAACATGAAATTCAAAATCACTGTCAGTCGGCAGGATGCTGGATCAGTTGGTTAAGCAAGCTGTTAGGGGATGCTTAAAAAATCTTACATCTGTCATGCTCCGTAAGTGAATGATTAATGAGACACTAACCTGAAGTTCTCTTCCCATCAGCACTTCCACCTGCAATAAATAAAGTGTGTTTTATCATGTACACGTTCTACCATTAATGACATGACAAGTTATGAAACATTTACTGTTACTGACCTTCAATGACTCTTGTCACTTTGGTGATAGAAGGCTTTCCATCAATGAACCTGGTCACGGAAGTTTGCGAAGGATTTACCTCCACAACCCTGGTTACTTTGGTGACCACTGGCTTCACTTCGCTGACCACCTTAGTCACCGTTGGGTCAGTCTCTATCACTCTTGTAACCTTGGTGATCTTTGGGCCCTCTGTCTCGATTACTCTTGTTTTGGTTGGCTCATTCCCGATAACCCGGGTCACGTGGGTTAAAGTGGGTTCGGTCTCAATGACCCTGGTCTCTGTGATGATGGATGGTTCCCCTTCGATGACTCTGACCACCGTTGTTTCAGGGACTAGAGAGAGCAATGAAGCAGCCACAGAGACGGTTTAATCATCGTTTAAAAGTTTGAAACACTGACCCTAAAATGCTGTCAGAGCTTCCTCTACTGACTGCCTGCAGTGTTTGCTTCCTTAATGTAAACAGACAAGACATGTAGTCAACTTAAAAACTGAATTATACACGAGTTACATTTTTCTCCAACATGAGTGGGTGTTCATTTTTTCTGAGAGGCTCAGACGTGTTTAGTTATTTGATGCTTTAAAAAGGGTTTAACAATTTGATTGATCAGTCAATATGTTTACACACGCAGATACGTCAAGTTAATGAAGGCGACTTGTCCAGGGTGTCGCCTGCCTTTGCCCCAAGCTGCCGAGATTGGCTCCAGCCCTCCCACGACCCCCAATGGTATAAGTGGTAGAAAATGGATGGATGGATAAGTCAAGTTACAGTTACATGTCTGCCTCTGCTGTGGTAGGGGGCGACATGCCTACTTTTAGCTTGTTGCTGTCGCGTTGTCTCCTGGTTGACGCATTACATATCAAAACAATAGGCAACACACATCAGCTAGAGGCGAATAGGATGTATGCTGACGAATGAAAGCAGTTATTTTTACAGCTTTGTACTGTTTGTTTGTACGACTGGCAAGTTTTGTCTCTTTTACATTCTTTCTTCATCCATCCAGGTTTTGTTATTACTGCGCTCCCAAGCAACACATCCATCCAATTCCATTTCTGGATCAGGCCCAGCATGTGAACTCAGGGCATGTGCCGCAGGCTTTGGCCAGATTCTGTCTGATTGTGCCGTACACATGAAAATTTATCCCCAACTGAATTATCCAGATGTGTTAGTCGGACTATGAGAAGGTTGATTCAGAGTGATTCAGTCGGACTTGTGTGTAGACATGTTTTTTAGAAGTTTAGTTTCAGTTGGTCCAAGGCACTAAATCTTTTTTAACAACATTCACATTTACTGAATGTTGCTCTTGTCTGTGCGCTGTATTAGTATAGTGTTGGAGTGATGGTGAGAGAAACACCAACTCAACAGTCATTGAACCTTTAGCAGCTAAATTTGCTTCAATCTGACAGAAGAAACTTTTACAATAGAAACTGTGTCTGTTCTGTTTTGGTCAGTGGAAACGGCCGTATGTCAATATTGCAGATTACTGTACAGACTCTTGATGAAGAAATTCAGCATGTTGACACAACAGCAGGAGATTTTTGGGCCTCACTTTTGTGCAGCAGGTAAAGGCGGAGCTATAAAGTCCATCTTTTTAAACACTCAGAGGTTTGGTATTTTAGAAAGAAAAAAAAAAAGGTTGTTTGTCTGTTTGAAAAGGAAGAGCATGTCACGTAACCCTCTAACACATTTTTCTTCACTTACTGAATTCCCACCAGAGGCTGGTTATCTGTGAAACCCTACAGCTGCTACAGAACTCTAACATCTTCTGTTCTTTTCTGCTCTGGAGCGATGAATTGTTAATGTGACAGTATTTTTATGAACGACATAGAGATCAAAGCTGACATATGTTTGTATTTAAGAGCTTCTCAGGCCTGAGGCCCCTTGATACGTGGCCTTATTGTTCCGTGACAAGAGCCAGATCATGTCTGTTTTCAAACAAAATCACTTGGGTATTTTTGCATAATTTATAATGATTTATAATGATTATTTGCACGTGTTTAGTCTTTGATTTGTTTGTAGGTTTTATCCTTTTCATGATCCTCGGATCCAAACTTCATCGTTCAGAATTACACTTTAAAACTCTTTAAGATACAGAAATTAAAGCCCATTTTTCACCTGTCATGCATGTCCAGTAAAGCTGGTTGCAATTTGATAATACACATGAGATGATATGACAGAACAGTTTCTGTTTAAATTGAATTTTGTTGTAATGCTTTGTCTCTGAAAATATTTTTGTGAATGATTCATTGCATATCTGACTCAGCATTCTGTATGACAGTCAACTCTTACATAACCCCGCTCCCCTGCCTCTCTTTTGTGACAAGCATCAGTTTCTTGTGCAGAAACTTGTTGAACTCAGTGAACCCGCGTGGTAGCCTGTCTAAAATGAAAAACTGATTTTCTCTAAACACTGTAACAATAAAGGGACACACAAAAACTGGAATTGCTTTATCAAGTAAAATATCCCCATTTCAGCACATTAACATCATAAAACTGTGACCTGTGTTACTTTAATCCTGCAGGGTCCCAGATCTCCGTCAAACTTGAGTGGTCCCATGTTACCTGATACTTAAAGAAATACTTCCCTCTGTATGCAAGTGCACTGGACTGAGCTCGACTTGATGAATAAATCACAGGGTCCTCATCTCTGAGCCTTTTATGCCTTGACAGCCTGATTACCTTATCCCTCAAAGAGCTGATTAAATATGCCAAGAGGTCCAAGGGGACTTAAGAAATAGGGGTATTAAATAATCAGGGGGACGGAGATGAGAATAATGAAAGAGGCCAGCATGAAACTTTGAAATGCATGAAACATGCATGAGTCTGCATGAGGATGATTTTATATCGAGAACAGATGCTCATTTTTAAACAAAGAACATAAACTGGTTTCAAAGATGGACATGTTTTTGATCACTTACTTTCAAAAATTAGCGTTTGACCATGTAAACAGTCAGAGGGGTCTTACCAGTTTTGACATAGGTTGTGATGGTCCTCTCTGTGAAGAAGAACAGCTTGTTGTAAGTTGTTGCTTATATGATACTTATCAGGAATCATACTGTGACATTAGTGTCAAGATGACTTACTGATGAAAGTGAGTGGGATCTCGGTGTAAGTAAACCCGGAGACAAACTAAAGGAAATAGAACAAAACAGACGGAAAGTAAAGGGAGGATAAAGAGCCACTAACATTTTTCAAGGAGAACTTCAAATTCAGATTTATTTGTATTTCACTTTCTCTACCTTGATCTGAATGTACTTAATCAGCTTCTTCAGGAGAACCAGGAGGTCCTGGCGGCCCACAGGAAGGTCTGTAAGTAATATGCATCCAAAAAAACAAGATGCTTTAATGCAACCCAGCACAAAGTTCAGATTGTTTGCGTGTCTGATAATGAAAACTGGTCTCACCCGCAGGATAGAGAACATTCTTCACCACATGGATCACACCGTTTGTAGCCATCAGGTCACTGTCTGGAACATCCACTGAGTTCACATGAATGGAGTTGTTTACCTAAGAAAAACAGAAAAAAAAGGTTTTCAGGTCTATTTCTTTTGGGCAGTGTTCTGTGAGTGATGTCTGGGGAATCAATTCATGATTAAAATCCTGCAAGTTGATGTGTCAGCGGAGGTGTAGCTGAAGGTGGACATGCTGAAAAAACAAAGGACAACTCTCCCACCCAACCTCTGTATTGAATTTTATAACTTCCCCCTCCAATCCTTAATGAAAGGACATGTCTCTCAAAAATCACCATCCTTTCTTTTTTTCTTCCCTTAAAGTCTGAACCACCCACTTCCCTGACTATAAATTATCTCAGAAAAGCTGTTCTGTGTCTGTAAAGGAAGTCCTGTCGACCTGAGATAAGAGCTCGGCTGATAACCTGATATACGATACAGTGCGGCATAAGATCGGAGCGAGAGGGCAGTGTGTATAATGGGTGAACGATGATAAAGCTGACATGAAGACTGATAAAAACAGGGATAAAGGCAGATAAAGACAAATTGCAGGTAGAGTTTGTCAGGAGAGTAGGCGGGGACAGCTGGGTGAAAAGTCTAGTGGGTGGAGATGGAAATGACTGGAAGCTGGGTTTTTATCACTTTTGGCCTTTCTCCAGAGGTTACCAGCTTTGATGTCATGGATTAGCGTTAGTTCTTTGAAACCATTGTTTGAATGAGAATGTGGGGAAAGACTAGGTTCGTGTGCTGACATGGAAAACATGATTATATAATACGAATACGTGATAGAGGAAGAATCAGCCCTTGGACACGGACTCATCTGCTTTTCCCATGATATTCAGTTTCCTAAATACCACAGGAAGTGCTATTTCAATAGTTATGTGACAGTTTGGTTACGGATAATCAAGGCTTCAATCTCTGTTCACATTTTTGATTTTTTTTTTTCTTTTTCTGAATATAACATTTTATTAATTTAGGGCCTGTTTCCACAAATAGAATTGTTCTGGTTTGCACTGACAATTTTTTAAAATCTTTTTTTTCAAGAGTACAATCTTAAGGTCTTGAACTTGTCTAAATTTCAGTATTACACTGAAACACAAACTACGGAGCAAATAGTGTTCCTAAATAAGCTTAGCAGTAACTACAAAAGGAAACAGAGGTGGTGGAGGAAAAGAAAACATTGTAACCTAGCAACGGTACGTGAGAGGAGCTCTGAAATCGACATTATGGGCACTGTAGCACAAAAAGAAGTATTGTTAGCATTCAGCCTGTTTAACACACTGAACGTCTTGCTGTACATACAGACATCACTTCCAGGTTGTTGCCCTGCAGGGTTTTCAGCAGGTTGGTAACTCCTCCCTCTAATCCTCCATTGATGAAAACGCCATTACTGAGATGGTATAGCAGAATGACCCTCAGAGCATTCAGATCACCTGTGAATGACAACACATGGGAAACATGATTACACACTGGAGACACTTTTCTTGTTGCTTTATTTATCACAGGCCAGCTTTAAAGCCATCCTCACTTTTGAGCAGAGCGAGGTCCTCTTCGTTGAGGCCGTCAAAGGCATCGTCAGTGGGGGCAAAGACGGTGTAAGAGCCCTCCTGTTTCAGCACATCAGTCAGACCTGCTGTCTCCATCAGAGACAGGAAAATCCTTCAAGAACACAAGAAAGGATCGTAGAAAGTTAGTTGATGAAATTGACAGTGTTTTCTGGATTAATGCTCAAACTGATAGTTAGCTTTAAAGACTTGCGTTGCATTGCAGTGATTATGCTGACCATTTTAAACCAACAAAGATGGAAACAAAAAAGATTTTTACAATGACAAAGAAGACAATAAGAGTCAAAAACACAGTAAAAAGCTACGACCAAAGTAACAAACAACTGCCAGTTGTAAACAGTAATTTACCGTTTACGTTAAGTGTTAGCCTGTATTTGTTCTTTATCAGTTCTCTGTCCTTTTCGTTTCTGGTAAATATTTAATGATGGAGTTTACATCAGGAGAATCTTCTGAATGTGTTATGTTAGGCAGCTTTGATTGGATCAGACTGTAGATTGTGTGAAAAGACGGGCAGTACTACTGTCCCTGCAAAGTGAAGCCAAAACATTTAGTGCTCCCCCCGGTGAGAACAGCGATGGAAAATGTAAAGATTACTCATGGTCACTGAACTTTCAACACTCCTGTCTGCAGTATTTTGTCTGTATTTTTCTCACAGTGGGAGTAAATGGAGATACATCATTCGTCGTATTTATTTACAGTCAGTGTTTCATACTTTCCCTATTTTGCACACATAAATATGTATGCAGCCTTTAAAGTGGTGCTTTCCCATTTTTCTACTCTATTCCTATTTCCTACCACAGTTAACTGCCCAGACTCTGTCAGTCAGAAAAAAAGATTTTCATTTTCTTCACAGGGAAAGGAAAAACATTAGCTGTTAAATGGAGTATTTATTTTGCATTTCTGAGACCGGATTACACTTGACGTCACATTTGGACAACAACGCAGCAGTGTGTTGCTCGTTAAAGACGGGAGGATTATGGTTATGGCAAAGAAAAATGATGGGGCTCAGATTGGGATTTGTGTGAGACTTATAGGCTTGTGTGGTCTTATTCAGCAAACATCTGCCTCTTTGGTTATTAATCATCTGCAGCTGCTGATGCCAGTGCTGTCACAGAGTCAGAAGATATTAGAGTTTTGTGGTTGGGTATTACTCTCAATGTTTGTTAAATTGATTTTGAAGTTGGTAATGTTTTCCTTTCAATACAATTCAATTTAACAGTTTTTGCTGTGTTTTATTTACTTGCCACTGAGTTTTCAATTTCCATAGTAAGGAGAATATGCATTGTTGAAGGTTTTGTTCTGTGATGTGCGATTATATCATATACTGTATAAAACAGGGATGTTGTCTCGATGATGGATCATTGGTGTTTTGAATGGAGTTTGAAAGGCTATCTGCAGCAGCCGCCATATTGGAAATGCGACCTAAGTGAGTGTAAAGAGACATCAGCTCTGCACACCCAAACTGTACATTGTACCAAGCTGTAAACATATCCTTTTTTTAAATGAATATGTGGTTTTAAATGCTTTTGCTGCCATCCTAAAATGGACATTTAGGGGAACTGGTTTTTTGTAGCACTTCTGCATCAGCTGCATTTCTCGAGACCAGATTTTTCTGCTTGGGTTAGATATGTTCCACTGTATTGTGATTCGTTACAGCAAGCTCAGCAGCTTCAGGTAACATAAATAAACGAAGACAAATCGTGGAAAGATGTGGGTGAAAATTCAGTGTGCTTTGAAAGAAGTTATGTGTTTTGCTGCTCGTAAGTAAGAGGACATTATCATTTATTGATTATTTAAGTGCATAAAAGAAATAACAAAATAAGATTTGGGCCTTACCTGAAACGTCCGTCAGAAATCAGGCGCTCATACATCGTTTCCTCTGCAGGTTTGATTATTGACCTCATCACATGGAGAGCACCGTTACTTCCCTCTTTCCCGCCATGTGTCATACATGCATTTTCTATGCACACGGCCTGACAACGAAAAAAAATAAAACAAAGTCAGAGCAGGGTTTTGTCTCCAAATCTGGTACCTATCTAGATCATAGGAGGACTTGTTGTTGGAACGGTTCTGTTGCAATCAATCAAAAAGAAGAATACATGAGATTTGTGATGAAATGTAAGCAGCTGTTTCTGATATCTGAAGCACCAGGAGAGAGACACATTTCATCAGCCAAGACTTTGTCTAATTACTTATTCTATCACATTTGTTTAGAGTCAAAAGGCTGATAAATCATGTTAACACTTGGTGAGGGGCCTAATGAGTTACAGATTCCCAAATGAAAGACAGTTTTCCTTTCTTTCAGTTTTCATTCATCTTTTTTGTTGTTCCTGCAGGAATCTGTGATGCAAAGATAAAAATCTCAGAAAAAAACATGAAATTCTCACAGTGCGATAAATGAAGACCCGGAGCAGTTTGCCAGCGAGTGTTTCCAGCAGCTGTCCGTTGTAGAGCTCACTGAGTGTGACTTTCAGCTTCAGGATGTGGTTTTCCAAGATATATTTCAGCAGGCTCTCTTCTGTTGACATCACCTCCTCTGGAAAACAAAGAGAAATTACAGGTTTAAACAGACTCAGGTGACACAAGAAACCAGCCAGGATCAGATACACTTCTTCTATGCGTGTTCATTTGACAGACAAGTGTTGAAAACGTATCACAGCCAAACCACGAACTGTAACAATGAACTGTAAATATATGAACTCTTTCTATGACCCCCAACACTCCCCGGCTCCCAGGACTTTCTCTATATTCCACAATATAACCACAATATCTTTTTAAAATTGTTTTTTCAAAGTAAGAAAATAAAGTAGCTAGCAGAATTTCTTTGGATTTGAACTCACTTGTGAATGCATTGTTGACAGGAGCCAGGAGTGTGTACTCTGTCTTTGGACCCAAGGCAGCAGCTAAACCCAACTCAGACACCATGTCTCCAAAGGTGCTCTGGGACTCTCCCAACAGCTCCTGCACCTCCTTGGCTGATGTGGATTACATAATGTAAAGAAAAAGAAGATGTAAAAACCAATAATGTCAACAGAAAATACCCTTACTGGGGGAAGAAGTTGGGTTTGAAACCAAGCTGTAATTCACCTGAGTCAGGGATGAGCACACTATCGATGAGGTGGATGACACCGTTGGTGGCGACGATGTCCTTCTTCAGCACCATCTTGATGCCATTAACTGTGAGACTGTTGCCATCACAGCCAATCTGGATGGTGCTGCCCTCTGCTGTCTCATATGTTGACCCACTCATGATAGCTTCTGAGCACTGGACGCTGTTGAGGAGGTGGTAGTTCACCAGGGCTGAAGAAGTCAGAAAAAGTTTAATGTTGGAGGAAAGAAAACAAATCGCATGTGATTATTGTTTGAAATCTGGTCAGTTAAGGCAAGGTTTGTTATCCTGTATCATTTTTCAAGTATTTAGCAGCCCTGTTGGGATATGGGATTACACCTCCAACTAAGTCCAACTGTCAAACTCTAGCCTGCAGAAGAAATTAAACAGTAAACTGGAAAAACTTCTCCAAACCCAAACAAACTCAAATACAATCTTCTGTCCAAGCATCAACTTATTTAAACAAGGCACATGGCTTCATATCATCTTTACTTTGGAGGCTTTCCTGACATGGTTTCCTCAGTGTCTGAGTATGTATCTGAAGTTATATTAAGAAACTCACTCAGGACACCAAAAACACATGTTAATAGATGTTTCTGCTTCTCCAACCAAAAAACAGATCAGATGAAACCAGAGACAAATGTTTCTCATTTTTGTGGTGTGCTTTGCGATTATGCTTGTATGAATAAATTCTCCCTTGGTTGTGAAATAAATTCACATGCTGGTATTTTGTCCAATCGTTCATGCACCACGTGGACAATGTACCTGCAATGACAGCTTTGTCTCCCATGATTCTCTCCAGGTGACCTGGGGCCAGCTTGTCGAAAGCCTCATTGGTGGGAGCAAACAGGGTGTAGTGTCCCGGCTGGCCCAGTTTGTCCATCACACCAGATGCCAATGCTGCAGCCTGGTTATAGAGACCCCACATGTAACATTTTGTCACACCTTGAGTTACTAGATTGGATCAAGTCTTTTTTTTAAACACTGGTTTTCCATTTTAAACTATTATCAAAAAAGGTTTGTGAGTTTTTTGATTTTCAGAGATCAGCTCCGTGTGTTGCTGAGTTAACTCACACTGAATGAAGAGAGTTCATCAGTGACATCCAGGACGTCCTTGATATTGTTGCTCACAAAGCCAATAACCCGATCAATAACATGCACCACACCGTTGGTTGCAATCTGGTTGCCATGAATGATTCTGGCACAGTTAACTGTTACAACCTACAAAGAGAAGAGGTGTTAATTCAGGGCCAACATCTGGGTAAAGAAATAATTCAGTTCAGTATGTATGAATGGATTCTTGTGTATCGGAGCATATTGCATAAACTGACTCCATTCGGGTAGTGGTTGATGTAGAGCCCCAGGTCATTGTACATTGATGTGATGGTCATGTCATTCTTCAGGTCTTTGGTTAAAAACCGTCGGTTCACCATGTGGAAGTGAAGTGCGTTGTACAGCTCGATGTTAACATTGCTCTCAAGAGCAGAAAGCATTTCCTGAATGAAGACAGATCAGAGGTGGTAAGTGAGTAAATAATGCAGTTATTCATACTAAGAGACCTTTAAACCAGCAGAACTTACAGGCTCCATTTGCTCCCACGCATCATTGCTGGGTGCGAACATAGTGAAAGAACCTTTGCCTTCGATTTCTTCTCTCAGCTTTGACATGTCAGTGTAGCGCTGTGTGGATGTAGCCTTTACAAGCCCAAGGGTACCGTACACATGGTCAATGGGAGCCACTGGAAGAGAGCAGAAGATATGCTTCAGCTTGGGAACACTTGAGAAAAACAGTTTGAATTACTTCAAATTAAAAGCATTGTGAGGGTTAAACTGTGTGAATATATTTGGACATCTAAAAAGATTATGTTACCCTTGAGCTCCTTTTGTGAGCTATCTTACACCCTAATAATAACTCAGAGTTTGCAAAGATTTGTGTGTTTTGTTACATTTGATAATTTTACTATGCTACCAATTGATAAAAGATCTATATTTTCTTTCTTTGCTTCTACAACGAATGTGTTGACTGGAGCCACATCTTTACATCATTTGCCAATGGGAAATGCAGTCTTCATCTGAACTTTACCCGAAGCAGAAACAATACAACATACAAACTCCTCACAGCGCTCTTTATATCACAGGACTAGACTGAAGCTTGGGGGAGATCCACTTACCTGCAGGGCATCCTTTCATACCCTCCAGTTTCATGTACCCAGGGCAGCACTCATAAAGGACTGTACTATATAACAGAAAACAAACACACACAGAAAAATGTTATACAGTAGATGTGAATGTTATACAGCAGATTTGCTGGCCATGAAATTTCATTTAGGATCTTTTAGATGAGGATTTGTATTGGTTATGGTCAGAACAGTAAATATTACAGTAGTTAACTGTATTTGCAACAGTAAAAAGATACAAGATTACTATAATATTAAGAGCAGATATTTGAGGGGAAGGAAAATGTAGCTGTACGAAGAAGAAATGTTGAGCTCTTGAGCAAAGAATAGTTGAGATATTTGAAGAGTGCAGCGGCTGAATTAAAAAAGGTCGTTTCCAAAAAGCAAATCTATAAATGGGCATAGAACATTTTATTGTCCGAGCAGTAGAAGTAATGATGTGAGAAAACGTCCACAAAAAAAGCATTCAAGAGAGGGCTAATTAACAAAGACAGGGGGAACAGCTTTTACTCAGAAGTGGTTCCTCCAACACTTCTTTAAGCACTCTGGAAGAAATTCAAAAAGTCCCAGCAGGCCAATCACTGAGAAAATCTGGACTGGACTCAAAAGGAAAGACGAGGCTGAGACACTTTCTTAAAGAGAGCCAGCCGACATCAATCCCAATATCTCATGAAACAGAAAAAAAAGAAACAAACTAAAGGACAAAAAGTCTTCAACTTGACGGCATCAAAGTGCTTTGTTCTCTGTCTTCAAGAGTAGTGCTGAATAAGATATGCACAAAGTTTCCTCAGAGGCCTTTGTATTAGTCAAATCCAACCGCATATACTGAGAAACATCATGGAGACCGTGGCTTACACATTCTTAAGGAAGTCAGAGTTGTACTGTTGATAAATTAATCTAAACACCAGTGATATCAGCGTACAACTCGGGTGACTGCTGCCTCACGAAGTTTCTTCTCAGTCATTAGTCTTCCCAACAAAGCCTCAGAACAAAATCCTGACATACAGCTGACTTATTGAGCCTGCATGACAGATTTAGATCTCAGAATAAACAGAATAGCTAATGTGTGTCCTTTAAAAACAAGAACTACATCCATCAGCTGCAAGGCCGATGTTTTGTGAGGAGTTGCACGTCTTAAAACAGATCGAGTTACTTTTTATTACAGTCTTACAAATGACAGGAAGAGCTATGACAGACAGTGCAAGCCCCAAGTCAGCGTTGTGTAAAATTACGCCGTAATAGAGGGATCATTTGTGTTTTTCAAGGGGAGTTTTATTGAAAATGAGCTCTTAATGGTAACCAAAGCAAACCTTTTTTAATTGGACTTGCTCAAGCCAGGGTAAATCTTCTAGGATGTAAACAAACCGTCAGTGAGTCACTATTGGACGCTTCATCAGAGAAACAGCCACACAGTTTTTGGACACTCGGAAAGCTTTAATTGGGATTTCACCCTAAGCCCTTTATGGTTTCCAGTTGGACATTTTCGCGAGTTTGTTGAGGAGTTTGAAGAGTGTGTTACACATCCAAAGCATATAAAACCTAGTTTAAAGATTTATTGCATTTATATATAAATTTTATGTTTCCTCCACAGGCTTTAGGCCCCGATACAAAATACTGTCTGTCATCATCCAGAGTTCAAAGTCGTGACATATTATGTAAGAAATCGTTTCTCTCTGAGTCTACTTCAAACCACACACACCCACACAAATCCCTCACTTTCTCCCTGCTACTCCCTTTAATGACTCATGCTTTGACAAACGTCTCTACTTTAATCTATATTTTTGCGCGAGTGTTAATGTGTGAAGGTTTTATGCTATTTTTATACACACAGCCATGTCATTTATACATTACGGGTTTAATTTGACAGCCATTTTTTGCGATGTAAAGAACATAAATAAACACGCACAGCTGCTGTCGGGAGGGTATGAAGTCATTGCTCTGCGGCTGTGCTCTGACAGGATAATAGATGCTGAATGGACCAGAGACAGAACTAACCAAATGCAAACTGCAGCCAGGCCTCTGGAACTGTCACTTCATGAACCAGAGCAATGTGGCATCCAGATGAGCACATTTGCAAACTCTGCATACACATGCACACAAACGGTGTGGGGTGTTCTGGCATCAGATGGAAACATCATAGTATTTCCCAGTTGCGGATCAATCGAACATCTGTCTTGGGTCTTCTTACCATTGTTCCATGTCATTTCTTTCTGTGTTTTCATGCATGGATTTGGAGTGTAAATTAAGATGCCAGAGCTTTTTGTTTTAACTACAAATGATTTTTAACACTTGTCCCCCGCTCTGCATGTTGTGCCTAACACTGACAGTACACCACTTTGAAGAAAATCACTTCCACCTGAACTTCCAGCGACTCAGTTCAAGACTTCTTTGAGCAAACAGAGGCATTAAAGAAAAAATCCCCATGGAATCAATTACCTCCAGAGGAGATAATTAGAAGAACACAGTGCAGACTGGATTCATATCAACATCATTTGTTCCATCTTGTAGTGGTTTCTAAGAGAATCAGTCCAGGTATGACTTCAGCTGCTGCACCCTTCGAGCATGTTTAAACACTTGTGTGTTTGCAAACCAGCCTGCGGTGAACGCTGAGGTCTGACTGTAAATACTGTAGACTCAAACAGCCTTTCCTAATCTCTCATCAACACCTAATCCCAACGAGACATAACCACAGCTGGCAGGATTTCCTTCACTGCCGCTGAACAATGTCCTGACTGTGACCGCAGAGAGCCAAAGAGATCTGGGAGTTTTACGGTCTCGTTCAGCTTTCTTTGGTCGATTTCAGCGATTTTTGTATTGATACATAACATTTTATTAGCATGGTGGTTGAGAATTCAAACACCATGAAGACAAATTTTGCTGTGTTTTGGATGAATTTGGGTATAATTGGGTTAGTTTTCTGAAGCTGCCCAGTAACATAAAATGCATGTAAGAAACCCCATCAACCCTTAACCACCTTTTATTATCCATCAAGTGAAATTAAATCTTTTTTTTTATGAATGCTGCCAGTTTTAATGCATGTCTTTATCCACCAATTTTGTTTTTACCCTAGTCAGTTTAGATTATAAGTTTTAAATGTCATGAAATTTTCCACTGTATATGTGTGTGTGACTGTGTGACATAGTCGAGTTACAGTGTGCATGTTTTTTCAATCTTCTGCAACACTTGCAACACACAGACAGTAAATCAGCTCCAGCCGAGCCTTACACTCCATCAATGCATCTGCAGCTGTACTGTATGTCACATTTTCTGCACATCATGTCACCAGGAAAAGTTACTTAAATCTATTGGCAACACTCCAGACAGTTCAAAAACACTTCTGTACAGATAAAGACCCAATATTTAGGTTTAGCATCTCTTATCCACTATGACAAACTTGCTCTCATACTCACTCCAAACCTCTGCCTAACCTTTCAGGGGATTATCTATACTTGGGTATTTACAGCTCACAAGAGGAACAGCTTGCCTTAACGTAAAGAATAACTAATTTAACACAGTCACACTAATTCACTTTCTCCTGTCTGCCAAGAGCATAGATCAGTCGGAAACAAGGGTTGCAATAGATCGTCTACTTCATCCTAAATGCGCAGAGCAAAAGCATAAATAGTGTATTTTTCCTGAGCACCTGACACGCTTCAGACGGAGAGGAGGGCATCAATCAGTGTTGAGAGGAGTGTACAACATAAACGGGCCAACAATGGAGTGAACCCCTGGCCCTGCAGGCCTGCACAGCATGCCTCGACAGGAGTGGAGGAAGGGGCATAGGGGATGGGGGTGATGGGACAAAAGCGGGAGTTAGATTTTATATGTTGTCATGATAACATGTCTAGGAAACTGGTTGTGAAATCCATTTGTTGATGCGAAACACATGTTTGCATGTTGTGCAAAAGCACCATGACTGTAAAGTGTGATTTGCTGTTTTTTTGCCGAACAAATCCTTCAGAAAAAGCTCAACTAGTCATTTAAATATTTTGGCATCATACAAAAAAGTTTGGACCAAATTTAGACTTAAATCTAGGAGGTACAGGTGGGACAATTATGAGCTCAGGCAAGACAAAAGTGGCCGGAGGGGGCCAAAACTGTAGTCAAACAGAGGTGAAACATCATACAGAGAGGTGGAGGAGGTTAAAGTTGAAGGGTGAAGTTTGGAGTACAGGTTCAAAAAGTCAAAGTCAATAACTTCTCTATGTCAACACTTACGCTGGCTTGCCACAGATGGTGCCTTTGTACCAGTTCCTACATGTGCTGAAGTACTTCTTTTTGGTCCCCATGACCTGCTGCAGAGCGCACACATTTGGCCTGTGGAAAAGAGAAGGGGAGAAGGAGGAGGAGGAGGGAGGCAAGGTGGGGGGCGGACAGGTGAAGCAAGCAGGATGTGGGGAAAAGAGAAGAAAGGGGGGAAGACAAGTGAAGAAGAAAGAGCGATGAGATGATAGGACAGGATGTGAGTAATGTTGAGTGATGCGGGGAGTGGTGAATACAGGTGAAGAGAAATGAATAAGCTCAGTTTACTCTTAAAAAATCTTAACAAGGAATACTTTCACTTTGCAAGGACAACCACATTTCTGCAACCTGTTAAGCTGGCAAAAAAAGGAATAAATATCCTTCAGCCTGGACAAGAAATTCAATTCAAACCTAAAATTTGGCACATTGATCCCAGCAGAAAAGAGGGGGGAATGCGGCAGACATTATTGAATGTTCCATTATGGTGAAAATCAATGTTTTCATCAATGAGGCTGACCTGTTTTCTAAATCACGATAGAATGCTCTGTGATTAGAAACAGGATTAAAGATAGCACAGATTAAAAACCTGTCACAAAAAGAGCTGAACATGTCCATCAGCTTTTTTTTTTAATAATATACAGCAATTTATCTCCAGTCTGCTGTGAAATACAAACACTTCTGACATCCTTGCTAAAATTATCACAAAAATTACAAATTCATTAAGTCATAAATGTAAGTGTTTTTTTTTAACAACTCTGCAAGTACCACATTTTCTTCACACATCCCTCTACTTCCCCCACCCCTCTCCTTACCCTTCCTTCCGGGCCCGTATGCGGCTGTGAGTGACTATCTTGTCGTACGCCGAAGAATCCACACTCCTCAGAGAGCAGAGAGCCACCAGCACCAAGGCCACCACTGTAAGCTGATGCATCCTTTTAAATTTATCAGTCCACTGTCCTGCAAGGCCACAAACACACACTTCTCTTGTATTTTAGACACACACACAGACACACACACACAAACACACACTAGAATCCCCCCACAAAAAATGACACAGGAGATATGGGAGTGCAAGTAAGAGAGGGAGCTTTTATACCAACACACACACACACCCGTACCCACCCACTCTCCCTCACTCACTGTCTTTTCCATACCATTACGTCCTGCTTTGACACTCACACACACACATACACACACACACAGGGAGACACACACACCCCTCTTTTTTTGCCAAAATCCTCCCTCCAACTTTGGCTTCTCCCCCTCCCCTCACGTTTTTTCACATGAGTTTCTTTACTCCCATCACATCCCAGAGCACCAAGGACACCCTCTGACTCAGATTTTACACTGTTTTTTACAGCTTTTTGACAGATTTATACCTGACTATGGACTAACAATAAAATGTACAATGTACTCTTGAGAGCAGGACATACTTGATAATTCCATCACAGCTGCAAGATAAACAAAAATCAAGCAAATCACATCACAGAATAAAACTATAGCAGTTATTTATCCTAATTACATCATCCTATTATACATTCAGTTGCTGGGTGGATAAATATGAAAAAGAAAAAAAATTCAGATATGTCAAGACTCAAACAAACAATGCTAAAAAAATGCAAAAGAAAAAAAAAATACAGGGAGACTGAACAATGAACTCAGGAGGGCTAAAGTACAAAAGAAAGACAGAAAAAAAATCCCCAAAGTTTGTGGTTCGCAAGTTACCAGTAAAAAGAAAAGAAAAAAGAGAAAAAAAAGTTTCTTAAACTTTTTGTTTAGAGCTTTGTGTTTTTATTTTTAAATCCTCTCCTAATCCAACACATGCAAACTGTAAGCATCCAACAACATTGTGTAATTTTGGCAAGAAACCATGTGAAGTAAAGTATCTATGTTGCTGAGAGGCACGAAAATCACTCTTTAAATCAAATCCCACAAGACAAATGGTGATGAATCTATGTGGATTATCCATTTACACTTTCCCTGACAGAATCCTGACTGTATTTTTATCCCCACTTTCCTTCTCATTACTTATGTGACAGGGATTCATCACTCCCTGTGAACTCCTGTTTTTACTCCGGCTCCTCTTTTCCTCCTTCATCATCCCCACTGTCATGTTCATCGTTCATCACTCTAGCTCTTCACTTGGCCCAACTTCTTTTTTCCCCCTCAGTTCTCTGTGTCTCTCATGTTGAAGCCAGATCTGATGGAGCTTCAAAGGTAAGAATCCGTCATGAAAACAGGCTCTCTGCATGTCGTCATGTACAGTCTTGACTTGTGAGCATATTTCTACACTTGAGACATGAAGGTCTGCAATCCCTTAGAGTTATACCCTTGAGTTATGGTGAAGACTTCACGACATACTCTACTAATGAGGCACTAGATTGGCACAAGGAACAGCTAAATTTTTGGTTTCTTTCAAAATAAACACACATGACATTTATGAGGACATTTATGAGGAGATAGAGGAACACCTGCATAGATTTATACACAAATAGCACGTTATCAGCAGTATAAGCAAAAACTAATGCAGCTGAAAGCTCATACACAAACAGAAATCTCAGATTATCTCATTGTGTATGAACTTGCGCGACCTCTCTCACTCTGTTAGGAACAGCAAAATACAACAGTCTGAACCATGTCCAAGAGGCCTCCACCCTTCAGAGACAGCCTCCTGTCCCTGATTCTTGCTGAGTATTTAAAAAAACTCTCTAACAGAATGAGTACAGAGTTATTCAGCCCAGCCAGCAATTTACTGTAATCTAAACCTTACCGGCTAATGAGCTCTCTCTTATCCCCTTTCCCCTTACAAGATCTTACCTGCACAAGCACATTCACTTACAAACGCACACAAACATGCACACACATCCTGAGCTGTTTGTTTTACCTGAAGATGCCCACAGGAAGGCAGCACAGTCCTCTCCAGGTAACAGGTGGATGTTTCGGATCAGAGTACAGAGCAGACACTCCATTTTGAAATAACATCTCCCCCTAGTGGCAAAGACACGGCAGTGCAGTGACATATCAGGCCTTTGGGAGTTTAATTCCCCCAAAATCAGGAAGCCTCTGTGTCCATAAAAACAGATAATAGTGGTTTGTAAACCTTTTACAGCCTTTATTTTATCTAAAACACTGCAAAGACAAAAAATCAAATGCTGGATCTAAAACCAATTGTTGTTTTATGCCCATTTCAAAGATGTTGCCAGCAACAGGTTTTAAAGAAAGTAAGGGCAAAGACTTAAAAAACATTTAAACTGCTGTGCAAAAAAAACGTGGTGGAAATTACTGCTTAGGCTCAAAAACTGTACCATCCAAAGAGGAAACCATATGATGGACCAGATATGCCAGCAGCCATGTGGCTTGTTATCATCGCACACCTCAGAAGCAAGAATCCATGACAGTATGGGGATGCATCAGTGTCCATTACACATCCAAGTAGTCAATAGTAATGTAGAACAATACACAGGTTTTGGAGCTACATATGATCCCCAACAGATGAGGCACTTTTCAGAGAAGACTTTGAATAATTCAGCAAGACAATCCCAAACTGCATTTAGCATGTATAATAACATCATGGCTTTATAGTGGAGGAGTTAGTCTGCCTGCAATACTCACTCGTCACCCACTGGAAATATTTGGCCTATGAAAAAAAATATGACAAAGAAGACCCTGATCTGCCGAGCCGCTGAAATCCAAGAAAAGGACGATATTTCACTTTTACAACTTCAGATACTGGTCTACTAGTTACCCAAATATGAAGAGAGGATGCAACACAATGGTTACCATGCCCCCATCACAACTTTTAAAAACATTGAAAAAGTAAAAAGTCTGAAATGAGCATATATTTTGTTTCAGGCAGCATTTTTTTGCCAGTTGTATATGTATTTCACCCAAAGATTGGCACTAAATGATCTGCAAACCATAACAACTTGTACTCATTAACAATTATACACAGCATCACAATTATTTTTGAGATTGGGTTGTGCTTTTTTGTGCATATTGACCCTTTTAGCAACAAGTCTGGAATAATTCTCACAAGGTTTTCAATTAAATTAAAATCCCTCACATAACAGCTCTTCAGGGCTATTGCACAAAAAAATCACCCCTATATTTATTTTTGACATTTGTGCAAAAAACTAAAATCACAGATCATTAATAGGAAGGCTTTTAAGCGACAAACCTAGAATTCCTGGAACAGTGACTGTACAGTAAATGTGCAGGGATGTGTGCACTGAATACTTGTTTTGCAGCTGTGACAGTCCAGTAGCACAGCTGGGAGATCCATCACAAACCCAGGAGAGTTTCATCTGGACCTTTTTGATCTCACTGGGAGCAGAGTTTCATCAGCTGTTCAATATTTCAACCCTTTCTCACAGGGTTTGTCGCTCCTTCAGCGGTGGAAATAACAGGCCATTGAGCTGCACAAATAGAAAAATGAAAGAAAGCAGCAACAGAAATCAGTTCGGAGAAAACGGCAAAGTGAAGTCAGCAGGAGGCACACAAAGGGTAGATGATGCAATTTTTCTTTTTTATGTTCTGGCTTGTGCTGTAAACAGTAGGCAGTGTAATGGGGTTGACTTTTCTTTTCTTCCATGATGGTCAGTGTCTTTGAAAAAAATATAATAATAATGATCACCCTCTACTCACAGTCAGATATGGCTGGACTACCTGGATTGAACAGCTCACACACTGCTCACATGACTTATCCTAAAAATGGAGAACAAATGGTTTAGCGAATAAATTAATCCCAAGGTTTAAAAGGAGAAATGAATGGAAATGTGCTGCTTGTGAAAATGAATCATCCACCTCACGTTAAAGACCTTATAGAAATTCGGAGCGACACAAATGCTGCGTTCGAGTTACCTCGGAAGTTGGATGTCGGAGCTTGGAATGACGCTACATCCGAGTTGAAAGCGTTCCAGTTAAAAAGTCGGAAAACAAAGATGGACGTTCACAGTTACCCGTTGTTAGCTGTTGTTTACAATTGTCAGTTGTCGTTGGCCGTTGTCAGCGGTTGGCGATACCAGTTGTAAACAACGCACAACACTTTTACTCTATTGACACCATAACACTGTGTTCACAGTTAGACGTTGGGTAGGACATGTACCACTTATTTAATTTCACAAAAACAAAACAGAAGTGCTAATAGTTAATGCACTACGAGAGCTTTTACTGTTACTCTTTACTGCTGATGCACTGCGCTGCCATCTTGAATTATGACGTTGTCGTCAGGTCGGGGTTGGCGAGGATCGTCCGACACTCGGAAATCCTGACTTCCGAGTACAACTGGAAGCATCCACTGATTTTTTTCTAAAACTGAGTTTTTAATGCCGCGTTCCAGTTGTACTCGGAAGTCGAAACAACAACTAACAACCGCTGACAACGGCTAACAATCGTAAACAACAGGTAACAACGGTTAACAGTAGGCGTCCATCTTGGTTTTCCGACCCGTCAACGGGAATGCCTTAAACTCGGGTATAATGTCATTCCCATAGACTGTATACAGAATGGACGCCGTCTGCCTCCTCTCTGGGTGAAGCCTCCGCGAGAACAACACCCTCTGGTGAAGGGCTGCAGTCATAAATCTCGCCTCCGCCAGCAAAGCTCATGGGGTTGTGGACAAACTTTAGAAATTCATTATACAGAATATAACCCCCCCACCCACCAATGTTGATTTCAGGAAATGGAGAAAATTCGTGGAAATAGCTACCGAGAGCTTTTCGGCTTCAAATCGATATGCTGGTGGAAGGCGGAACCAAGTTGTCCATAGTATATACAGTCTAGGGTCATTCCCAGCTTCGACATCCGACTTCCGAAGTTAACGCAAATGCATGACATGTTATAGTATCCTTATGGGTGTCACTGTACTGTGTGAAACACGCTATTACCTGGCTTTCTTACTAATCACCTGGCTGATTGGTCAAAACACCTTAACAGTAATTAGAGCTGCTAGACACAACCAGATCAGACCAGCTCAATCAAGACAAAGACTTTTGGCACATTTTGCTTGTGCTTGAAGTCATTAGGGCAAAATCGTTCGTTTATGTTGGCATCATACTAGTAAACATCACGGTAAACAGATAGCCTTTGCACATGCTCAGTTATCACAAACCCTGGGTAAATGGACTGGTTCTTAAATAAATAAAAATAACCACCACAAGGATTGAACATGTCACATTCATCCATTCACAGTAGCTATGTTAAGACACAGACTGATATGTTAAGTGCCAATCAGTATTAATTAATCCCACTTATACACTGCTGGCACAGCCATCTGGACTATTTGGGGTTCAGCATATTACCTCAGTCAGTCTGGCATGTTGACAGGGGACCTTGGGTCAAACCATTGGACCGAGAAAGAGCCAGCTCTTAAAACTGAGCCACATACCCCCTCCAACCCAAAATTAAGCTTAGGATTAGTGTATGACTTCAAGGTCTTCTCTTACTGATTGGGAGTGTTACATTTCTTCCCTTGCCATAGGAAAAATGTCTTTTTTTTTTTTCCACAAGATGAATTTCAGTTGAAAATCCTCAACATACGGTTATTAAAAACACAAAACTGTTACACCGTGTCAATCCATTATGATGCAGTGATTTATAGATGCAATCTCCATAGAACAAAAGAGGGGAAAAAAAGGCAGTGATTAATTTCTTTTATTGTGGATCTATGTTTTATCTCTATAACAGCATTCATCCAAACTGACATTACATCTAGAGGTACCAGTTAGAAAGAGCAAATTTGTCCAAAATAAGACATAATTCTCTGTAGGATTGATAAAACATGAATAATATGTTGCCTTTAAAGGTTGTCAGGTTGTGTTTCATTTTTTATCCCACGTGATCATTTGACTGACAGTTCTCCTGCTGCATCTCACATGAGTGTTTATTACGAATTAGTCGCCTGTCAAAACCACAATCCTCCTCACAATGCTGAGAACCACAATCCCAGGTTTTTGCATAGAAAAACATTGACAGAGTTGTTGCTGCTGCACGATCGGAGCCCAACACATCTTCGAGATACCGTATGTTTAAGTGTGTAAAGTGCAGAAACAGACATAGTAAGGCAGAGAGTGGGGTCTAAAACTGAACACATCTATTGCTCTATAGAGAGATAAGGATGCAGAGAGATAAGCAGTGTGGAGATAAACAGAGAGGTAGAAAGAGACTGATATAGTAAAGTGGGCAATGGAAATAAAGAGTACATGTTGGAAAAAGAGGGTGGCCAACAGAGGGTGAAAGCATTGCTGCCTCCCGAGATAATTGAATTTTGGTAAAACTGGGTCAGTAAAAGCTGCTGGTGGACAGACAGCTTTGCAAAAGTATCTCCAAATACTACTACTTTGTCGAGCTGCTTTTAGCCAGCTAGCTCAGTCAGCCAAGTAGCTACTTTTTTCATTTAAAGCATGAGTCCATGGCTTTATTTCAGAACCAGAATCTGTATCTTTAATAGTTCTAATTTAGCAGCATGTTTCTCCAAATGGCAATATTTGCAGGAGTTACAGTGCATTTACCCTTGCCAGCCACCGTAGGATAAAGATAAAGAAATGATGTAAACAGACAAAATTATTAGATCAGCTTTGATTCAGGATGTAATTACTTTCCAAACCTCTATAAAGGATGAGATAAGATGATGTTATAATACAATCAGTGCTCACACAGAGCTTAGTTTACCTTTGCTGCATCTCTGCTGCTAATGCAACTGCATTTAAAAGACTTGAACCAAAGTCCTCCCTGAGTCTCCAAAGATCAAACCTGATCATCAGCTTTGATAAACAGGAAAAGTCAGACTCCAGTAAAACAAACTTTTACATCCACACGTTAAGTGAGCAATGATTGTCAGTCTTTCAGTCTTTAGTCCAACATTATGGCCTGTTGTTAAATCCATGTATCATCTTATTTATGCGTCTTCTTTGGGTGACTCTGACGAACATCCATCAGCTACTGAGTTTCTGTCTTTGTCCTTTTCCTCTGTTTCTTTTTCTTCACCTCCAGCCAAGCTCTTGTTGGTCTCTAAAACCCTGTCTTCCTCTGTCTTGGCCTCATTTGGTGCATCCTTTTCCTCCTTTACTGTCTTTGATAGTTCTTCCTCATCCTTGGCTGTCTCCTTCTCCTCTGTGTCTGAGCCCCCAGATTCCCCGGCTTCTTCTGACAAAGAGTACATGTTTCTCGAAATATCTCCTGCACCAGATGTGTCTTCACTTGCCCCTTTGTGGCGTTTTTGGAACAAACCAAAGTCTGTGATGTCTTTGGGAAAGTTTCTCCTCTGACTTGACTTTTCTCCTGAACTCTCATCAGAGGTCACAGACAGAAGTCCGTTAGGGAGGCCGTTTGAGGCTTCAGGCGGCCGAGGTGAGCTGCAGTGTTTGAGGATGGATGTGGTCATCTTGAAGCGGTTGAGTTTGCTTTTTGGCTGGCTGCTCTGAGGACTGAGAGAAACCTTCAGGGAAGAGTTGGGGTAGGCAAGACTGGATTCTGCAGGGCTGCTGCTGGCTTTGGCCCCCTGAAGAGCTGGCTTCCCTGTCTTCACCATGCCCATCACCTCATAACGGAAACTAGAGATGTCCTGTTTCAGCTCCTGAAAGAGGAGAGGAAGACATTTACCAAAGCTTTTCATTTCACAATAAAGCCCATGGGTAAGCACAGAGCACTCAGGAGGGAACCATTTCACTTCTCAGCCAGTCAGTGCTAAGTGGATAAGGAGTAATTCATAAAATATTAATTTAGCACTTTGTATTTCTTACAAGGATAGTCCTGCAGATCAAAATCTAAACTAATAAAAACACCCAATTTCATCTTCAATCAGATTTAGCTTTTTTTGACACCTCATGGATATGCCAGACTTTTTTGCTCATTTTGAAGTGTTTGCCATTTGGTGCAAAACAATATCTTTCTGTGACTTTTTCTTTTTTTCTTTTTAGATTTTCTTCTGACAAAAGCTGTTCGCTGGAGAAAAAAACAGTGCTGATAACAGAATAACTGGGATGAGAGTCAACCAAAATAGTTGTGGGTTGAAAGACCAAAACTCTGGACTTTAATTACAAAATTTAAGAGAAAACTATTTGGGGTTTTTTAACCTATAAACTCCTGATAAATAAATGTTGCAATGTTATCTAATGTTAGTCACAAATACAGACTATACTGGCAATTGTGTTATTTCCTTGGGAAATATTCCTACCTTGAAGTTCTCTTCTGTCAGGCCTTCCTCTGTCTTGGCGTCTCTGATCATGGCGGCAACATATCTTTTCACCAAGTTTCGCAGTACCTCCTGTATCAGCAAAAGGAGAGCTTTGAACCCAACATTTTCCGACAATGATTGAAACTACAACCTTTCAACATGTCACAATCAATCTGTCCGGTAAAAATGAATAGTATTTTTTTACAAAAGAAAAAAAAAACATCTCAGGCTACATTGGTCTCTACAGAGGAAAGAAATGAACATCCTGCTAAGCATAATAGCTAGTACTACTGTAAGCAAAGTAAAAGGTTTCTGTTGATGGGTGAAGACAGGCAGTGACAGAGCAGAGAGTATCATCTGTCACTGTATTTGCCGCAGAAAACAATTTCAGCCTCCTTGAGAAAATCGACTATATTTACCTGATACTGGTGGTTTATCCTCAGGTTTTCTGCTGCTCGCCTCTTTATTCACATCAAATGTCAGGGAAAGTGGAAAAATACAAAAAAAAGGTATTTAGTTTTTCTTCACTGTGATAGACATTTGAATTGAACTACATGGCATGAGATCAGAAAGCTCAAGTCTTTCCTACCTGCTATTTCCAAAGTTCACCTACCAGTTTCTCTAAAGCCCATGTTTAAGTTTCCTACTTACTCCAAGAGTTCCAAAGGTTTCAGGTCGCTTAGATCTCGTCCTCTTGCACACTTGTTTCTTGATCCAGCACATGAGGTACCAGAATGATTTAGGGCTGGGAACGATGTTAAAAGGAGCTGGCAGAGTTGCTCCTTCTTCAAAGTAGCTCATCCAGAGCTTCGTCCTGGCAAACTTCCACTCGATGTCTGCATGATCCTAAAAAGGAAGGACAGAGAACACGAGGAGCTTGCCAGCAGACACACTGCTTTGTGCTGTACCATGTAATTGTCTGATGTGTGCCCACTTACAGCAATGTGCTGATAGGAGTTGTTCATCATGGCTATGAGCATGTTGAGAAGCACCACCAGGGAGATGATGTTGTAAGTGCCGAACATGGTGGCCCCGACGAATTCAGTGAACTGGTGATCTGCGTCCACGTTGGTGACATAAAGACTGATCAGACCAAAGATTGACCAGAAGAGAGATTGCAAGGTCTCAAATAATCTGGAAGAAAGAGATTTAGCAGTTACTGTGTTGTCCTTTTTACTTTAAGACTAAAATATGCACCTTTTTAAAGCTGTGTGGTTTTTATTACACTGAAATTTAGGCTGTGGTGGTGATTTTAAAATACTTTGCAAGTGTCTTTTTGCTTTCATGCAATCCAAAATATATATACCACTCTTTTTTCATTTAATAACTTTTTGTCAGTGAACAAAAGTATTTCTATGAAATGCAATTTCTTGTGGTCGTTTTTACACTTTTTTTCAGCCAGTACCAGCAACATACAAAGGATTCCTCTTTTATTTCCATACAAATTAAACTATGTCAACAACACATCTTGAGGTCTTCACATTTACTCACGTAGAGAAGGCATTATTCTGCTCCACACAGCGGATGCCTTTGCATTTTCCTTTCTCATCTGAAGCCTTTGTCTCATAGTAAAAGTACAGCTGGTTCAATCCATTCGCAAAGGCCAACAGGACCTGAGATAAAGAAGCATTGTTTCAGTGAACCTGTGTTTTTCTTTCTCATACCGTTTGTCACTTACTTTGCGGTGTTGGCATGCAAGTATTCGCATGTGTGAACAACACTGTGTTTACCAGACAGTAGATGAAGAGGAACTTCAGGATGTCCAGCAGCATTCTCCCCAGAGAGATCTGCAGCGGCCCCAGATGGGAGTTGGCTGTGAAAAGTGAGATGAGGCGCAGGGAACTGAAAATATTGGCTATGGCAAACACAGCCTCAGCTACCAGTGTTGGGTGCCACATCTCCCACTGGTTCCTGGGTTTACTGCCACTGTACTGAACATGACAAAAAAAGGATGACAGATACAATGAAAACAAGCTCTTCACACCTGTCTATCATATCTGCCTATTCCTGGATAGCTGGTTACCTTAGTGTAGGCCACAATCTTCAGGGAGATGGTTGCCAGGTAGAGAGAGTTCATGACAAAGTCCATCAGGTTCCACCAATCATGGACATAGTCTTGAAATCCACCGTCCCACATTTGTTTGATCTCTGCCCAGATGAAACCTAGAAATAAAAGAATTAACTAATCAACAACAGAAGGTTGTGTCTCAGTGCCTGACAAGTTTCCCTTTAAATAGGTTGGAGTTATTTCAGGCTCCCAGAGTTGTGCAAAAATAATCTCATTTTCTGCATCGAGACTTTTAGGTGAGTAGGTGTTGGAGTATTTTAAGCTTTGATTAGCATGAAACTCTCATGACTGACTCATCAGAGCAGAAGATTAAAAATCACAATAGAGGATATAACAGTATTCAATTAACAAGACTGAGATTATGCAGATCTGCTATGGTGTATTAGGGCGCATTTGTGGTCTAAGATAGCTTGGCAGATATTTAACAAGTGTGACGTTAACCATTGTAACTGTGCTAGTTTATCACAAGCAGACTGGCACTTAACAGTTTTACCCTTTGTTTATTGATAATTTCATCCCTTTTTAATTGATTAGCAATTAAATATATAATTCAGGAATGACGTGAGGAAACATTTCAAGGTAAAGCTACATATTTGACAGGATAGATTTTTGAGTCAACGGCCAAAGATAGCATCCGAGCACTTCAAAGCTAACAAAAAAGCTAGCAAGGTTTTGATGTGAGTGTGACAGTCAAATGGTGACACTAGCTCTCAATCACTTTCTAGCTTACAACAGCAAGAATGTAACTGAGCACTACAGCCGTTGTCTTAGTGTTATAAACAGTGTTGGAAATTAGCTGTTTGAACTTAAGATATGGCACAAATCCTAAAGGCAAAAGATTAGTCTCTCAGTTTGCTCAACAAAGTTATCAAACAGGACATGCTACAGAAAAATAGTTCATTTTGCCAAAAGTGAGACCAGGTATGATACAGGGAACAGCCCTGTATGGAGCTGTGGTCAGGTGGGACCTTTTACTTAGGGTGACCATATTCTGACTTCCCAAAAAGAGGACATGACCGGATAAAAGAGGACGTATGGTCATCCTATTTTTACCAGTGAATAGTACTCAAGAAAACAATACAGATAGGTGCAAACTTTTGCTAACACAGTTTCTCCAACTATTTAATGAACAACAATCAGAATTAGCTGAGTTAACAAACTGGAAAATCATGAGTGATGTAGAAGAGGAAAATAAAATGAAAAATGGTATGTAGTATATACATTTAAAGCATATAAATTTTTTTTTACCCTTTCCTTGGAGTAAATGTCTGTAATGGCTGATATAAAATGTCATTTAGACAATGATGAATGTTGGTGTAAATGAATGCATTTATGTGTATAATATAATGTTGTATTATCTCAAAATGGAAAGAAATTTAAGTGTAAAGTAAATTTGAAAGACTTTTGGTTTTGGCAGTGTTCAGTGTTAGTTAAAAGGATGACCAGTTTGTTCCTCTTCTGTTTGCAGGTCATTGAGGGGACTTAACATAACGATAACAAACTGCATCCTTTAAGCCACATCTCTGGTGTGAATAAACACGAAAGAGAAAAAGCCCACAATGACTCACAGTCTAAAGTTCTGTTGCATGTGTCACTATGGGTGCAGTCTTAAAGAAAACAGTTTGCATAATCTCTAAAATCCATTCAAGACGAACTCAAATCACATTAATTTCAAAATCTGTTTTAGATACGTTCAGTTACTTTGACAAGGACTAGAGATGTCCACTGTCATAGACTGGTGAAAAAAACATGACTTTTTAGGATGACAACACATAAACAAAGACAAATTTGTTGTTAAGTTGTACATCTGTTGTGTGTCATGGTGTGGGTCAGGAGAAATACCAGTGACCGAAGAACCAGAGTTATTCTCAATGCTACTAACCCAGCACCCAGGGCAGGATCATCCACTCCACAGTGGTGGGTGCAGGGCCCTGTCTATTCTGCCTGTCTTGCTCTGTGGTGACGATGTGCTGCGAAGCCAGCAGCAGCAGGAATAGAAAGGTCAGGTAGGATGCTGTGTGGCAGATAAACTTGATGAAGGGCTTGCGGATGAAGAGGCCGTAGCGACTCTTGGGAGCAATTAGGTAGCAGAGAGCAAACAGAGGATAGAGGAGGCCGATGAAGACACATGTGATGAACTTCCCTGCCCAGTGGCGGCGTCTCCAGCCGGGGAACTCGTCGTACCACCGGGATGCCAAAAGCTGCTGGCAGTTCGGTTGGGCTACAAACTTTTAGAGAGAAGAAAAAGGAGGGAGAATTATTCTTGCCATCTGTTTCATGTACATGGATGAAAATGGCCTCAGAGTAACTTTACTGACTTCGGGAGCCATTGCAGTATGTAAGCCTGCTGGGAGACAGCATCTCAGCCTGAGGTGATTCATTGAATTTCAAGAGAGGAGACAAGCTCAGCGACCACATGCTAGAGTTGGAACCTGGAGCAAGTTCCAGCTCAGTGTGCAAACCTAGGAGTACAAGTGTTGGAGGCTGTTGAGGCTGAAAACTGAGGAGTTACCTTCTGCATGCATAGATATCATCTCATGTCATACAGAGCGAATCGAGATCATACTTTGTTTGATGTTTGCAAAGGCCGAAAATAAATCCACTCTTGAGGAAAAATACCCTCAAGCAGAACCTAATGGTGCATTCTTATGGTCACAATGTCAAGTATAGTTACATGTTTATATCAATAAAAGTTGACAGGAAGTTACACTCTATAGCAGCATGACCAGGATCTGTTCAAAGCTACTACAAGCTTTACTAAAACGGAAAGTTCTGACCTTACTCTAAATAGTTGAAAGGGCATCTACTCCCCCAGGTCTGAACTTGTGAACCCTCAAAGAGAGGGGTCATGATAACTGAAGGCTCTGGCTCCAAATCTATTTTGGGAAACTTCTAAGATAGCAGAAATGCCCACTCTGTGCAGGTGCAAAGACAGAGGACATAACAGCATTATGAGCTTTTTAAGACGTGATGGTCCACAACTGTCAAAAGCTGAGCAGGGAAGAGGAGAGGTTTAACGAATAAAGGAGGAGATGAAAGGTCTGTACTGTCAGTAAGAATAATCAATCATATTATAAGAGCTGTAATTTAAAATGACTGAATTACACTATCAGTAGTTTTTTTTTAAGAACCACAAACTCTTCCCCAAGATGTCGGAGTTCATTTAACTTCATCCAAAGCAGACAACATTTCATACCCACAACAGGAATGAATGAAGATCTTTTGAACACAAATCAACATGTGGGAGGTATTTTGTTTGCTTTGTTTGGTTGCTTCGATGATTTGTGTTTCTGTGAGATCAAAACCTTATGAGACTTAAAAGTGAAAAGAATAACAAAGGAAATTTTGAGTCAGTTCATGTCAGGCTCCTTGGGTAAGTGAGTCCTGGTTTGGCATGAGCGAAGCCAAAATATCATTATCAAAACTGCAGATGTGCTTGGGTCTGCCTCGGCCAAGTGCACTGAAGCATCAGCAGCATCTGGGGATGATCTGCGCATATTTGGGAAACATTTCTAAGGTAAAAAAAACAAAAACAAACTCAAGTATTATGTTACATATGAATCTAGCAGCACAGACACACACTTATATATACAAATACATTCACTTCTTGTATTTGCACATTAGCCTCTTGATCAGAGTCACATTGTCAACCCGCACTGTTAGGTGCCAATTCACCAACTCTGCAGCCTTGTTACCATGGGAACCAGAGATCCCTATCTGTGGCAGGGTCTGTACTCAAATGGCTCATATTTCCATACTTTAACTAAAGCATTGCCACAAAACTTGAGAGGGAAATGCAGAGAGGGAATAAAGGAGGAAATGAGTTTCATGGATGATTGGAGAAAAACAGCGAGAGAGAGAGAGAGAGAGAGAGAGAGAGCATTGAGATAATGGAGGTAATCAATGATACAGCATCTAGTATCTGTATATCAATGATACAGCATCTAGTATCTGTATATCAATGTATCCTAATGATGGCAAAGTAAAAAAAAAAGTGGAAAAGCCCCTTTGCTTATGCCCTGTTTCAATGTTACACATTATAGCATGAAATTATAGAAAAAGAGGATAACCTCACTGAGTGTAATGCAGATTCATGTGTGTAGGATATGTATACCAATGAAGTATATGGAAACAAATCACTTCAAGAAAAGGCTTTTCTGAAGACACGCCTCGAGGATACATATAACTGTTGAGAATTTGCACATTTCCAGGTATTTCTGCTTTAGGATGATTAGTCAGTTCAAAATGGTAATTATTTTAATATGCTGCTACACCATATAAATATTTCAAAAAGACAAAACCGAAGCTGCTTGGTGTTTTCCCTTCATTAGCATATTTGAAGCACCAGCAGTGATGCTAATGATGTTGCAAATTGAGCTCATTAACAATACAATTAGAGGATGTATCCATACAAATATGCACTGGTTGTTAAATATCTCTCCAAAACCTAATCACAGCCTGATAAGAGGGATTTCATACGAAAACACTCAAACTGTAAAACTGATTTTTTTTAATCCAAATATTCTGTTTATTTTGTTTTAGAATTTCCTGAAAGGTGAAAATGTTCCATGAGTCAAACTGGGTTACAGCACCTTCCCTCTGTCAGAGTCTTATCCAAAACTTAGCCGTAGTAAGGTGTCATATCTTGGTTGGCTTGTTCAAAATACCTCAAAAAGGATTTCTCCAGGTCTAGAGTACAGTTGTGAAAGTTTCTCCCCACATCCCCCTCAGTACACTGTCAAAAGCACCAACAAAGTGCTTCTTCTCAGTGTGTGAGGAAAAGTGGGGGGCTTTCCAGCATAAAGCTAGTTATTTTAGGAATCTTTTTATATTGTAAAAGTTGGAATATCAGCAGACATGAAACTTGTTGCTTTTTGAAAACTTACTGATGGTTTCACAATTTTTTTTTCTATCTTTGACAGTTTTTCTTAAAGCTCCTGTGAAGAAGTTTTGGATTATGTCAATCTTGGTGTCCCCTGTGGACAAAGCAGTGTTTGCTCACCTTGTCCAAGACATGCTTGAGTAGTGACTTATTTACAACAAATCTCATCCTGCTGACCCTGGGCAGTCAACTGTGTCAGAGATTGTACAAAACATGGCTGTTTCTTCAGCGCCAAGGCTTGGACCTATCCCACACTTCTTTTCAGGCAATAAAAAATAGGTTATAGAATCTTCAATCTTATGGCTGATCATCTTGTTTGCTTTTGTAGAGCATTAAAACGCTTCAGTATGGATTTTAGTCTATTTCATACATTTCATTCATCAAAAAACTCCTCACAGGAGCTTTAAGTGAAAATGCAGAGATTGTACACAATTTGATCATCTTCATTAGTGTATGACGAGGTAAATTGAGTATGTGAAGAATAAATAAATTTACAATTAATGTCAAAGTGTTTTTCCTTTGCAGTTTTCACCCTCTCACTCATTTTTAAAACAACTTATCTGAAATCTACCTGCATTGCTACAGACTATAAAAAATTGCATTCATTTCTATTACTTGGCCTCCTTACCCATTTTCAATTACTGTGTCAAATTCTTGATCAGATTATACAAAACCCCATAACAATGACAAGACCTGGGATCAAAACAGTCTAACTGAGAGATGACTAACTCAACCATTGAGCAGCAGATGCTGTATCTCTTCATTATTAACATACACTAAGGACTATAATGGTCATAAAATAGCACCATCCTTCTGAGACCACTGTGCCAGATCAAACTTATTCAGATTACAAGCAGAAAATCTTTTTTCACCTTAACTGTCTACCAGCAAAATGACATAATGATATTTCTTTGTACAAGCAGTGAACATCGATCAACTCATAATTTGACTCAATAAATAAGATTAAAATGTAAAGAAAGATGTTTGTGCCGGTGTGTAACTGTAACAGCTAAGAGCTAATAGGCCTTAACTACTTCACAATCATTCCTGTTGAAATTCTATCACCATCTAATGGAGACATTATGAAACATCTTCAAACATTGAATTGCAGTTTTTATGGGCAATCACAAGGGGGCAACGTCTAACTACAGCAGGTAAAATTGATGGTTTTCTCCTGCTGCCTTGGAGAATTTTCAATATTTAAGAGCCTTTGAATCTTCAATGAACTCACCTATACTTTCACAAGTGTATCTGTACAAATGAGAGTAATGGAGTGTGAAAACCCTCCAGGAGCTCGAGGCTTAATCGCTTCTTTAATGCTTATGTGTTACTGATCATATTTATCTGATTTGGCCCCCTGCTGCATCAAAGCGTAGCCCGCTCTGATAGCTCCACTCTCTAGACGAAAAGCCTGTGGAGATTTCTCTTCAGACCATTATAAATTGGCTGTCTAAACCCCGGGAGCACAGCAGCAGCAAAGCTTAAAAACACACACAGATGCAAGAGTAGATACAAAAACGTACAAACCACATTACAGATAGAGGGTTAAAGAGGAGAGCTTCCCTTTTGTTTGCTGAGTTGAAGGTCAAAAACACGCTTGTCATGACTCACTGCAGCCCCTCACCAACGGACAGAATTATTAAAAAGAAAGGAAAAAAAAAAAAATCACACATCCAGACTGAATGTCACACCAATTATAAAAGCCTAAGTGTTTGCCTGCAAAATTGCTGATGAAGATAAGTGGTGATCACACTGAAGACAAAAAGCTCTGAAATAATAACAGCATTCTGCAAAAAAAAATGTCAAATGAGCCTTTTCAGTCCAGCTGAGGGTCCACTTAACCCATGATGCCTCGCATGGGGGCCAAACCCTGTCTGGCTTAAAGATCTTCTGTCACAAGCACAAAGCAATCCCAGTAAATACCTCTGTGCATGTGTGCATTAGTGTGTGTGTGTGTGTTAGTACATTTACCCTGTACAGATATATCATTTTCCCTCCACAGGAGACTGCACAAGGAATTGTTATTGCCTGCTCTGCAGTGAACTCAGCAATTTCTACCTCTATTACCACTGAAGAGGGGATTCTGGGGTAAAAGTAAAACAAACAAAAACAACTTAAATACTCAGATGCTGCACACACGCCCGGAGTGTCCTCTCTCTAAATCAATTCACATTTCACTGGAAAATGTTTCTGCTGTTTCTTACAAAATATCAAGGCTTGTGGCAAAGTGCTGCTCAACGTACATTAAGAGATTATCATAGAGTATTCAATTAAATTGCTATACTTGTGCATCATCTAGTTTTCGACAGGTGCTTTCCCCAAGATTGTTTAATTCTCTTTAGTATTTACTGCACAAAACAATAATGAAAAAAGCAGATACAATAAAACAAGTTCTTTCTTTTGGAGCTTGGGACCAAAATGAGGAAATTGAGTGACCGCAGAGTTTTCAATGAAGACATTGCTACCGGCAATTTGAAATAGATAATAAAATTTTATTCTTTAATAGAAACAGGACTCTCTCTCCAGTAGATCGCCTCAAGAAATAAAGAAATATCACTTGATTAAAAAAAAAAAAGTCTAAATCTAAAACATTTAAGATACTAAGAGAGTGGGCTGCATCTACTCGAGAAAAGAAATTCTCTTTTTTCTTTATTTTAATAAAAAACTAAGTTTTTATGACACATAGGGGGAGAAAAATCCTTTGTTGAATAAATAAGATATAAGGCCTCAGGGGTACCTTGCATTTTCAACAGCTGCTTAATTGACTATGAAGTCACTATGTAGCCTGCCTGAATGTGATATATGTGAATCATCTTGCTGTATGTCTGTGAAGCCTGACATATTAGCTTAGCTGATCCTGGTGAAACACTGACAAGTCCTGCAGATCGCAGAGGAGTCATGCCTGAAAAACAGCGAAACCTTGTGTCTGTGCAAAATCTTCAGACTATAGTTGATGATACCATCTTTTTCACTTTTTTAAAGACATAAATATCTCCAAATGACTCAAACCAATGAGACTGGATTAATCTTTACAGCTGGGACATGTTTGAACTAGTATCTCACCATATCAGGAGAATGGAGACGATTTTTAGTTTTTATCATATTTTTGTTATAATTCAGAGATAACTTTCTTATTACTTCAGAAAAACTAAAATAATGCAATAAGCTTCCATATGATGCTGGCTAAGTATGTATGCTGCAAAGTAATGTTCAGTTTTTTAAGAAAAGGTAAACTATACCACATCAAATTCTGTTTTTTTAAACTGTTATAACAATCTCTGCACAAGAGACACACAAATGCACGTGTGTATCTGCAGAAACACCCACAGAACAAGTATTTCAGAGGAATATATTAAACTAAAATGACAACAGACCATTCCTGGTAGCTGGGATGTTTATCATTTGAAAAGGGCAGCTGGGTGGATTGTTCCCCACATCACGAGACCCTGTCCTCCATCAAACCTGTGATGCAATTGAAGTCTGTCATTGATAATATGCAGGAGGAGGCCATACTGAAAAATCATTGAGTAATTAAAACACTCCTGGGAGGAGAGATGCATGGAGAAGCTGTCAGCTCCCACAGCAGGAGGAGATGTTTGTTTACCGCGAGTGTGATGACAGATTTACTGCCAGCGACAGAGATGACAAGAGACCGTCCATCATCGTGTCCACCTGTGCACTTGCACGACTCCCAATTGCCCTTTTGTGGCTCAACATGTTCGTCTGCCAACCTGCATTTTGATTACTAAACAGCTGGATGGATGAAGGAGGAAATAAAAGCAGCAGAAGTGCACTTGCTGTGACAGTCATGCAGAGGTTGCTGTGGCAGACAGCTGAGTGTATCTGTCCTTGGGTTATTGTGTCTGCTTCTCCATCTTTTTGACTCACCTCTACAGCCAACAGAACAATTCCGCAATAAAACATCTATAAAACCCCTCCTCTGTTGCCTGAGAAAGCCTTAAAGCATCCCGTATCTCGAAAATGACACCTAAGGTAAGCATCCATTAAAACGAGGCTAAATCATTAGTTATATAGTATTCTGCAACGGTTTTGTATCTGTTAAGAGAGCGAAGCTTTTAACACTTAAGATACAACAAAGATCTGCCAAGTAAGTATTGTCATAAGTTATTTACACCAGTTTTTGTATGAGCTATTTCAAACACTGCTCATATTTCTTACCTCAAACATAATACATGTTGGGGGAGTGTTAACCTTGCTACCTTAATTAGAAGAAAAATGCTATTCTTGTTAAAAACAGGAGCTGAAAAACAGCCCAATTAACTCTGCTATAGGTGACTGAAACAACGCTCTGAAACTAATCGATCCATCCTTACTGTTTTTCAATAATGAATATGCATATTCTGCTTTAAATACAGAAGAAAAGGACTACATGTTTGCATGAAAAAATCATGTCCTCCCAAAGGACATAATGCGCCGCTTTTGGGCAGCCGTACATGCTTCTTTTAGAAAGTATCTGTATATCCACACATCCAGTTAGATTTTTTTTATTTTTCATGGAATCCAGTTTCTGCTTCAGGGATTTAGTCACAGCATTTAAGATTTGACTATCCATCATCTGTGAGAGCTACCAAAGGGAGATAAAAACAGATAAACAGATAGAACCGTGGCCAAGATAGCATCTGGAACCATCAAAAACAACCTGAGGCTAATCTTACATCATTACTCCAGTTTCCTCTGAATGGCTGCGGCACCTGTGAGAAGACTTTGGCTGAGTGCAGCAAAAACTCCGGCACTGGCAGCCTTTCTATAGTCACACACACACTGTGAAAGTTGCCTGAGGCATTTAGTGATGAAACCTTACAATTTTAACACAATACAGCACTTAGAGAAGGAAATGGAGAAGAAAGTGAGAAAAGCAAAGAAAACTAGGACATAAGAAATGTTATTTCTGACAACATAAAGGACAAATTTTTGATTTTATTTCTCTATCTTGATTTCCCTGCATTGACTTTTGTGTTTTCCTGCTTACCTCTTTCTGGTGGTACTTGATTGCCAGTTTGAGTCTCGCCAAGTCGTTGTTACCCTCCTCCTCTAATAAATTGATATCGTCTCTGTAGTTCAGGATCATCTCCAGCTCTCTGGAGCTTCTGGTCTGGTCCAGGAGGTCCTTTGCAAACTGTTTACACTGCTGAGACAGCTCCTCGTACTCAGATTTGAACTCATTCTCCACCTTAAAAATAGATGCATACAGAAAAAAATAACGCTGGTTAACATAAAGTCACCTCAGACACATTTCAAAGACAATCTTGTGCAAGTTAGTCCATCAATAAAAGGGGTTTTTGAAGCCTTTCCATGCGTGTTATCTTGATGGATCCTCTCTCTGAGGTTTCAGTTGCTTCTAATTTGATATTCTGAATTGTTGTATCTCATGTCTCAAACTATTAAGCTCACACATGTTTAAATTTGTGTAAAAGAACTTGACAACTGCAACAGATTTCCCCCCGGAACGTCAAACGCACCAAGATATATGATGTTTGCATACAAGATTTGAAAACATGCTAAGTAAATATTTCAATTTCCTTTCAGAGAATTAGATGCTTCCTCTTTCAATTTCCCTCTTAGCCTTATAAAAAAAATTAAGATAGTGGACATCTGTTTGATCTGGTAACATTATGAACATCAGCAGTAAAGGATTCAGTTCACATCATTATTCCTCATAACCTACGACCTGCTGAATTTCTCCCCTGTGCATTAAATGACACTTCCCTACACCAGTAACTTTTACCCTTGGCTAATGATACGATAGGAGACCAGATGTAAGACGATGGCATCATGAAAGGTTAATCCATGCCACATACAGCCGACATTGCATTTCTTTAAAATCCTATTAAATTAGACGTTTCAGCTCCACCGGTCTCTGGATTTCCTCCCTCACCTTGCTGAGCTCCTGTAGCTCCCAGCTGAGCCTGAACGCTGTCAAGAATGGGTCCTCACTGGAGAGTGCGATAAGCGAGGGACTTGACAGCGCTTTGTAGATATTGAGGCGTGAGCGTGAGTGCCTCAGGCTGTCCACGTCTGAACTGGACACACACTCCACACAGTTACATCGCACCTGCAGCATCAAACAAAGCATGGACACGGTTTAGAAAGGCTTGATTATGTTCAGTAAAATACACAAACACTATCTATCAGCTCTGTGATGCAAGAGTCTGTTGCTTAGAGATAGCAGGCAAATTTTGAGAGATTTTGGCCATATAAAGTACATAAATATCTATTTTGTTAACTGCTATGATTGAAGTGTTTCACATTATTTTTCCTAAATTTGTTGTAAATAGATTTTTTATAATCCCACTGCTTAATGAAGTTTAACAAAGATGCATAAAGACTTGTGCTTACTCTTTGCACATTATGGAGAAATAGGCTGTCACACTGCTGATAACCAGAATCCAGCTCACACCAAACACATATGCTTTACAAACCTCATGTGGCTGCGGCATAGACACGCCTTTCTGCACCAGGAGCTTAATAATTTCATAGTTGTTGGTGTGTGCAGCCAGGATGATGGGAGTGATGTCGGGGGTGAAGTCAGAGAACTGCTTGTCCAGTAAGATAGGAGGAACCTGTTAAAAGGAGAGTGCGGAGGAAAGACATTTCAATGACATGTGCTGTATTTAAGGAGGTTCACAAAGCAGCACATTTAGAGTTGGCTTTATATGATCTGTAATGAATTAGCAGGCTTCAGGGTCTCTTATTTCTGTCAAGTTTAACAGGTGTGACAGAGGTTACTGGCTTGATTTAACACCGTTTGACCTCAGAGTCTATCTTCTTTTGTACTGAGGTAAAAAAGAAAGAGCTGGGAGATTAAACAAACTGTTATATCTGCTGCAGAGGAAACCCTTCAAACACCCGGTGAAGAATTTTGCCCTTGGTCAAAGTTATAGTCATCATCTCATCCATATCAAGCCCTCAGTGCAAGGTTAAGTAACACTTTGGGGGGAAAAAAAAAGGAAAAAGAGAACAAAAAAATCAGTATTTCAACCATGTCAGAGAGAATCATTATGAGCGGAATGAATCTCATCCCACCTATACCTCTTATCACCCACTCCAGCTAAGCCCTTATGCTATTCCCCGTCCATTCAGAGGAAATACTTGGCTACAGGCTGTACAGGAGCACGCCAGCCCTCTTTACTTCTTTTAATTGAAGGACTGTTATCTGGCTCTGTTGTTGTAGTGAGTACAGACGGTAAAGAACATTTTTGGAGGGAAAAAATATGATTAGTTCTATTCAGGATTCTAATGCAGACAGAGGTAAAATGGGAAGCTGCTTTGGGATTGATGGTAAAGCTTTAAAATTATATGAAAGATATAAAAACCTTGGAGCTTGAAAGGGAAGACCTCTTTCAGTACTGACACTTCATAACCATAGATGCTGAGAAAAATGAGACTGAGGACCCTTTTCCAGATAACTCAAAACACATATATTTGATTGAAACCTTCCCTTCATTGTACCAAGGCAGGGAAGGTTTGGCCCCAACCTAAAACTTTATATTGGTAAGGTGTTCACACAGTAAATATGGTGATACTCATCTCTCAGAGGAAACCAGGTGCTGTTTTTGATAGCACTAACACTACATGACAGGACAGACGCAACAGTTCGAGAATGTATTGGAGTTTATGGAGGACTCTGGATGATGAGCCGTACAGGATGCTGTTACATTAGTCTAGTCTGGATGTTATGAAAGCACATATCAGGGTTTTGGCAGCGGAGAAGTTGAGTGAGGGGCGGAGACAGGCAATGTTTTTGAGGTGAAAGAAGGCAGTCTTCGTGATATAGTTAATATGGCGGTTGAACTTGAGTTTGTTGTCGAAGATGACTCCAAGGTTCTGGATGTGCGGGGAGGACGACAGAGTGCAGTTATTGAAGGTGAGGCTGAAGTTTGGGGTCATGCTGGTGTGGGATGTGGGTTCGTTGATGATGATGTTTGATTTTTCACTGTTCAATTACAGGTAGTTTTTTTACATCCATTTTTTTGATTTCAGTGAGACGGTTGCTGAGCGTGGAGTGGGTGGTTTTGGTGATGGCTTTGGTGGAGATGTATCGGCAAAACTGGAATCCGTAATGATGGATGATTTTGCCAAGGGGGAGCATGTAGAGAATGAAGAGGAGGGGACCAAGCACGGATCCCTGGGGGACGCCGGGTAGTGCTCCAATCCAAATTTGCAGTTTAATTTATAGGTTTAAAGTAAACTTAATTAAGAAGACTGAGGGTGTAAGCTAGCAAGAGGCTGTAGGCATACAAGTACAGCAACATTAAACATACTGATTTAAAGTGGGTACATACAAGTTTAATGTGTCAGCAAAACATTCGCATGATTCTGAAATATGTTCAGAAAAAAGCTTTTAGGACAAATCAAATTTTGATCCCATTGTGGCACTAAAAAAGTTAAAGATAATCAAAACTATTATAATTAAGGATTGTGTTAACTAGGAGATCTTATTTTATTTCATGACTGCATTTGGGGGAGTCAAGGTATTTCCATAGTTGGTGCTATTTATCAGTATGTAAAAACAGAAATTTTAATGAATAAGCAATATTATTTGCTGATATCAGAATAGAAAGTAAGATTGGTCATCTGAACATCACTTTTTTAATGAAATGACTTGGTCATCTATTATAGAAATGGAGATTAATCACCAGACAAGTGATTAAATAACCAACCAGTCAGTATAGATGATACTGTCATCCGTCCTCAATATGAATTTAGATTGATTTAAAAAGTATTACAAATTTAAGAGAAGCTGTACTCCGCTGTAAGTCTACAACTAGTATCAGTAAAACTTTGTTATATCACTGCTGTCTGGGGAAAATAATATGATGAGGACTTGTTTCTTCATCTTTTTCAAAGTGTTGCATCCTCCATAGTGCATTGAAAAGTCATTTATTATGTAATTACGCGTGTTCTTTACTCCCAGAGCAGGCAGAGCAGAGACTCCTAAGGTCGGCATATAGCCATATCTGAGGGTTGCTGTATTTTACAGAGGGGGAAAATCTAATAAGCTCTATACTCTGTTCTCCATGTGGGAGGACGACAGACCTCAAATAATCTCCATCAAACAAGCTTGGCTTGTGCCCAACATGGTGCAGGAGGAGAGTAGGTAGATGTAAAGTTATCATAATAGTGGGATATCTGAATCACTGCCCATTTGTACGTGAAATACATATGTTATAAAAATAAAAGATCAGATCACTTTTTAGCATTACTTTTGTTAGAAGTTTTAAATCATCACAGCGTGCTTTAGCTATTCTTTTCAAGGCTCCCCTCGCTTGTTTTGATCAATCAGCCCAAATCTTAAAAATGTGCTGATAAGGCAGGAATAAAATGGGACTCTGAGCTGCTTTGTTTGTAAATGACACTGCAGAAAATAAGTTAAAATCTCAGGGGATATGTTAATTTAACATCCTGCTTTGTGTAAGTTACATTAAGAAAAACAAGGGATTCTCCCTACATCAATATCTTTGTGTCAGAACAGGCAACTTTTCAAGCTGCACTTAGGCAAAATGAAGACTACAATGGAGATAATAAACAGACTGAAACAAAAGGAAAAAACAAAAGACAACAGTGCCGGAGGGCACTTTTAATTAAAACAAGCATGAGCTTCAGTTTATGTGTCTCTGACAAAGGCAAATCTGTAGTCAGAAGATAATACGTGGTGTTGTTTAAAATCCTGATATCAGATGTGCTCCTCAGCAGGAAAACAAATATGCCACAACACTTGCAAGATTACTGCCGACACATCATTCAGACAGCCTGCAAAATAGAAAGACAAATGCAGACAAGTCCCGTACAACATAAAAATGAAACTGCTGATTAATAAATCCCAGAGGAGACACAGACAACAGCTAGGACGCTCACTCTCCAGACAGTCTGTTATATGATCAATGAGCTTCTCTCAAAGAAATGTGGAAGTAATGTGGAGATATGTTTTGTCATCCTATCTATGTGTTGGGCGGAGGAACTCAGATACGGGGAAAGTGTGGCAGCTGATAGATGTCACAGCTCAGAGTTTACAAGACTGGAAACTTCTGCCCTCTTTATCTGAATAGCACCTCATCCATTTGACATACTGGAGCTTTCTCCAGCGCCCTGCGTCTGCTTCTCTCTTTTCCTACACTTACTCTTCCTTTGGCTTTTTTATAATCTTGTTTTTCATCTTTTTTAGCAGTCATCTAAGTCAAATGAGCCCCAGTAACATCTCTCTTAAAAGGGCAAGTCAGCATGTGATGAATTTATGAGTGTGCTCCAGAAACAACAGTCTGTGTGTTGCGAACAAGGAAAAGAGATGTTCTTTAAGTGGAGAGCAATCAGTGCACAGGCACACCAATCTGGCATAATTAGACAGCGTTTGTTGTTAAATTACAGTGATTAAAGCGCTAAACCAGCAGTTCCTTTCGCCTTGAAGAAGTTTACTTAACAGCAGTTTAGAGCTCTCCGTCTATTTGAAACCCCAAGATTAACGACAACAAAAAATCATGAGAATACTCTATTTTTGGACAAATGCACAATATATTTCCCCACAAAGAGCTTAGTCAGTAAACCTCCTTCTGATTCTTTTGAGAAAGACAGAGAAAAGGCTTATGAAGACAGCTTTTTGAAGTGTCAGCTTTTGTAGTTTCCAACAATACGTGGTCAATTATTTTAGAAGGAATAAAAGGCTCCAGGCAACTGCATGCAGCTTCGGAGAGACTCGGTGAATAACAGTATTTAAACAGCTGACTCTGCAACGTAGCGCTACAACATCCTAAATCCCTCCTGTAATTTGGCAGGTGGGACACTCTTTTAGGGACAATTGGGCCTGGTTGACTTGCTCTGAAACACTGTGGAGTTGTAGAGGGTCACTGTTAGACATTAAAATACCTATTACATAATTTATGATAAACACTGCATGTGGATCAAGTTTGTGCGTGACAGAGCAAGATAAAATCATATTCAAATAGAATTGGCACAAGGGTTAAAGACAGTAACATTTCTCAACCTCCTAAAATGAGATGCTGAAATAATAAGAAACATAATATATATATATATGCAAAAGATCAAAAACTAAATTTAGAAAAAGGACTGTGTTTGAATTTGAGAGGAAGAAAACAGCAGACATAATAGATTCTGCTCCTGTAGCCTGCTGAGCAGCTCACTGCCCGTGAAGCGACCATATCCTCCCTCAATAAAGCACTCTTGATTTGAAACTCCATCCCCCTTAAGCCCACTCCTCACCTGCATGCCTCCACTGGGTTTCTTGTGGTTCAGCAGCAGCTCCACAGCTCCCACCACCTCCTTGCGTATTGCGTGCAGCAAGGCATCGCCGACGTAGACGTTAAAGCTCAGTAGGAGTTCAATGATTTCCAGGTTCTCGTTCTCTATGGCAATCAGCAGAGCCGTGCGGCCGAGGGGATCGATGCAGTTGATGTTGATTTTGAAGTAGATCTCTGCTTCCTGACAAAAGAAGGTTGTGATTGAAAGTAAGGGGTTTGTCTCAAGTGCGTCTGTGGTTTGAAAGAAACTTGTTGATTGGAAGGGAAAAATGCACGTTTGCCATGAAATACACACTTAGTTTTGAAGGAAAAGTCTCAACCACTTTGCAAACTTTGCTACACTGCTCTTTCTACATCAGGCATTGACAGTCCAGGTTAGCACATGGATGGGCAGGGAGCTCTTAAAACAGATTCACTCACTGTCTTACGCTTATCAGGTGTCAGCAGGCTATACTCTGTGCTCCTCGCTATCGTCTGAGCTCCAGATTATCTCAAAGGTTGAGCCCAGCCACCCTTCAGAAACTAATTTCTGCTGACTGTACCCACAATCCCATTCTTTCAATCACTGGCCGCAGCTCATGACCATTGGTGATGTTGAAGTGTAGAGTGACCACAGCAAATTGAAAGCTTTGCCTTCAGGCTTGTCTCCGTTTTCACCACAGCGGAATGCTTACATTACTGCTGCAGCTGCACAAATATGTCTGTCAAACTCACATTTTACTCTCACTTGTGAACAAGAGCCTGAGATTTAATCCCCTCACTCAGTGTAGAGACACACTCCCCACCTGGAGAGGGCAATCAACCGTGGCCTCAGCTGCAAACTGTCCCTGGTGCTTGCTGGAGATCCGAGTCTGTAGAAGCCAACAAAACCACTTCATCTGCAAAAGGCAGAGATGACATTCTGACCCTCTCCGAGCTGGATACCCTCCTCCCCAGCTGTGCCTTGAGATCCTGTCCATGAAGACTACAAATAGGGTCGATAAAAAGTGGCAACCCTGGCAGAGGCCTACAGTGTGTCTGACGTCAAGTTTGTGCACACAGCTCTCACTTTGGTCATACAGGAAGTGAAAATATGTCTCTGGTTTTGCATGATTGAAATGTTCCCTTAAATAATCCATCGAGTTCAATAGAGGTGCACAGATAATTTGTCAGGGATTCTGTCAAGCGGCCAGCTATAGCAGACATGTTTGGCATGAGTTAGCGAAGGCAGGAAAATTAAGAGCGTTTGAACTAAATTAAGACTGTCATGGGTATCAGAGCAGGGTAATACAAAAATAGGGCCTAAAGACCGAGGTTATAAAGATGACATGATTAAGATAACAGATTTTTTGATTTTTAGAGGTTTCCCATTTTGTTTTGTTTTTTGTAGCTGATTTGCAATGCTAAGAGCTTTCTGTATGAGTTTTTTACGCCTGGCCTCCCAGGTATCATGAGACCCCATGAGCAGCTGGTCCGTTGCAATATTTTGTGTCTACTCAAGGTCTGACACTTGTCAGGGTGAGTAAAGGCCGCAGATGTTATTGGAAATGAGGGGAGGATAATCATGGCTGCAGGTGTTACCCACAAATTTTCTAATCTTTCTAATTAGATCAGGGTTGTACCATCCATGAATTTTTCCATTCAAAAATTCTACAGCTGTGTTCACTCATGGATATCCATCCAATGACCCATTCTTCCATGCATGCACACAAACACATACCTCCAGGGCCTGTTTTACGCTGGCATAGTCCCCCTTCTCCACAGCTCCCAGGTAAGCTTTCTCCAAAGGCGACAGCTCTGACTCGGCCCGCACAATTCTCAGAGGAATGCGGTCCCGGTAAGAGGAGCTGTCAGTCCGCCGGTAGTACAGTTGTGACATCTCCCCAGGCTTCAGCTTACCAGCACCCTGCAAAGACTGCTACGGCTGCTGCCAGGCAGGTGGAGTTCACACTAGAAAGGACGAAGACGAAGGTGTGATAAGAAAATGACACTTGCCATTTATTTTCAAGAGTCAGAAAAAAACAAGAGAGGCCTTGGGGACAGAGGTGAGAGGAAACAGGTCAATTCTCACTATCCGTTCATAAGTGATCTTTCCATCCGAGCTGTAGCAACTCATAAAGTAATAACATGTCAAGTCTTTGCTTCTAGTTTCAAACAATGCTAAAATGGGAGGAAGAAAATCTGCATGAAAAAGACACCAACCACTTAAACTCAGGTTTATAATCAAAAAGTTCCAGGGAAACTTTCAGTGATATATCAGGGCTCTTTAACAGTATGGGTGAATAATGATTATAGTAATGCATCAGATTTTATAGCGGTTTTTTATCAGTGACCTCGAAGCGCTTTACATTGAATACATCATTCATTCCCTAACACAGTCGCACCCTGGTGCTGACGGAAATGTGGCTGCCAGTTTTTGCCTACAGCCTCTCCGACCACCACCACACAAAAGTCACAATCATACACCAGTGGAGGACACACACTGGGAGCAAGGTGGGTTAAGTGTCTTCCCCAAGGACACAACTAAAGACTAGGGATGGGGGGAATTGAACCACCAACCTTCAAGATATTGGACAATGGCTCTACATCCTGAGCTACCGCCACCGAATGATAACATTGATCAAAACGACATCAGTTAACTAAAATCAACCCAAAATAAAATATAAACACCAATATTCCATCTCAACCAGATACACAAAGACTCAAAACACTAACAGTGTCAAAAATGTGTTGGCTTCCTGGCTCTAAACACTCGAGTTGATCCTTAGCCTTGTGGTCCCATTGGTCAAGGATCCCCAAGTGTTAGGTATCAGGGTTATATTTACGTGAACAACACTGTTTGACCTTGTCTCCTGAAAATCACAATTGAGCTCCTACAGACGGGTGTCTTGTGATTTCAGAAAATGAGACAACTTCCTCCCTGTGCCAGTCGTCTCACATTTCTCACACACCAGTTTTTTGATGAACAGGAAATTTTATGCCATTGTGCTGTTTTGCTAATTATCCTGTCAAAAGAACAAGAATGAGAGATGAAAAGCTGGCAGAGGCCGGTCTACCTGGTTTAAAAGGAGAAATATCGCCTCCGGTTCTAAGTATTGAAGTTGAATGAGTTGAGGGTGTTTGTATCTTGAGTTACTTGGAGCTTGAGATAATGTCATTAGTGATGTTCGCTAATGACTGATGGCAGCTGACCAAGTGGTTGCCTAGTGACAGCTAAATGTCAATTTCTGCACTTTTGGAAGTGCAGCTTCACAGAGACAAGACTTCAAAGCGTCACTGCGACAATGCGACATTGTAGTGTGGTTCTCTGCCAACAAAGGGATGGTCAAGACCTTTATATTATTTTCCTGTATGGTGAGATCCACCAATAGCCGGCGATAGTAAAACACTGAGCAGAAGATTGATGAGAAACAGGTCTTCACAATTAAGTAAAAAAACCACAAACTCAAACTCAGACAAGTTCTTCAGGAACTCTTTCAACTAACCCCGTCTGAACACAGTCTGAAGTCTGATGCTCCTCTGAGAATCTTGACCAATGGAAGGCTAACAAAGCAAGAAAAAAAGGTGCAAGAGGAAAAGGTAAAACGATACTAAACATAACATAAAACAGGTTCAGGTATCGCTTATTCCCCCCTCCCAGGATATGTCTGTGTGTCCATTCAATGCACAATGAGTGGATTAAGAGACTCACAGCAGCCAGATTATTACGTAAGAGCTAAAGAAAAAAATGCTTTTCTTTTGTAAGAAAAAAAACCCTGAAATTATTCAGCGTTTTGGAAAACATGCTCATTTGCTCTCCTGCTGTAATCCAAATGAGTTGATGGACACCACCCTTTGAGAGTAAGTGTGAAGCTAGCAGGTGATAGCTTCGCTTTGCACAAACGCTGGGGAAGACAGTAGTAAAGTAATTCAATATCAGTACATTTCTGTAAAATGAACACTTATTCTAAATCCATGAACTTGTCTGTACTGATTGACCTTGTATAAAGACACATTTAAAGCCTCACAGCAAATATAACCAGCCCAAAATGTAAATGCTAACCTGCAAGAAGATTGGAAGACTGGTAAAAATATCTCTATAACTATCATGTTAAGCTTCTTTTGCTTAACTCGTGCAAAAAATGTAAGAATGACATGATCTTGTTTAATGGCGTGTATGTGCTTTGTTGTTTCTTGGCATGGTCAGTGACATCATGGAGTCACCACTGGTTGCCTGGTAACCTCACACCCTGCATGTGACAATCAATATGTTCAAGTTTTAAACTGGCAACTCCCATTCCAGATCGTCATGTGCTGCAGGGATTTAAGATGGCTGAATTGCAATTGGAGCACAAGGTGAGAGGAAATTAAGTCAACAGTGTTGGCAGTTGCAAGATTCTGTCACCTGCCATTTTTGCTTATGGCCGAGCTGCCTCTTGCTGCTCCCTAATGCGGTCTCATTTGCCCCCTACAAAAGAAAAGAACTTCAAAAACATCATGAAGAGAGAGCTTTACTCCACTGAGAACTTTCCTAACTCAAGGGCTCCTTTGGTAGGAAATTTTCACACCTCATTTGAGACCCTGGGCATTAGTTTGTTATTGCTTTAGCCCTTAGCAGAATGGTTTTACTTTGAATCAAAATGCTTCTGAACTGGCCGCATGGGGACCCCTGCAGTCGCTGCTGCTGTATAACTCAAGTTTGGGGAAGGCAGGCTAAAAATCAGGCTTTTGCAGAGAAAGTGTTTACATGCAGTGAGAGAAACAGACAGCAGACCACAGTGCCAATGCAGAAGCTTAAAACGCACACTCTACAGTTAGTGTTCGTCTTTATACCCTTTTTATGTTTCTTTTCTGAGGGATATAAAAGGGCTTGTGTCTGACAGAATACTCTAAAGTATGAATGACTAAAGCTTTTGCTGTCACAGGTGCTACCAAATTTTCCAATTAAAAATACACTTTGCTTAATTTCGATGCTTAATTTTGGCCACGCCACAACATGCATAAGCAATTAAGTATAAAAATAAACCAACAATCAGAGGCAGCAGCACAGGTTTGTGGAAACTCTACTGTGATCCACTGAAATATGAAACATATTAACAGGCATCTTTTCAAAGCAGTCTTTTCACCTTTACAAGTGCTTTACAGGATTTAGTCACCTCAAATCTTAGCTGCATTAATTCATGAGTCTTCCACTGCATAGAGAGATGGAAAATACTTTGATTACAACAGTTCTTGCTCTCAAAGTTTTATTGTCTGGATGGCACACGGAGCATCGCTGTGCTGTAGACAGTGCAGCCCGTTTAGAGACTCCTACCATGTGTTTACAAGGACAGTGACACAATCATAAAATTTTCAGCACAAACTAATTAACGACAACAGGTCTGCATGAGCCATTTGTCTTTAATGGCGCTTGTAAACACTCAGAGGTGAGGTTTTGACATTTTTATTCCCGTGTCTGTGTGCGGGCATCGGTCCAGGAAACTGCATAAATATAAATGGTTGTGAAAAGGAGAGAGCACCCTATACCAGGACTTCCTAGTGGGCTTCTCCAGTGACAAGCTGACAGACCCTGGAGGCGCCAAATTACATTTTTCATCTTTACTGTCTACTCCTGTTGCGCAAATGGAACATCTTTGAGCCAAAAAACAATCATTCAGAAATTAATCGTATTATTACATTAAAAAAAACTAACCTTTAGGGTGTTGGGCATCGGAACGTCGCTCGTGGAGTGTGTTCCTCCTGTGGAAGAGATCCCGAGGGCACATGAGGACTGATAAAAGAGATGTTCTTTCAAAAACAACCTCAACTTGAATCAAGCGTCCCCGAAGATGGGTAATTGCAGAGTGGGTTTGCATGAAGACCCTGCTTGTATGTGTTGTTTCCTTGCACCAGTCCGTGTTTTTCTTGGTTTTCAGTCTACTCTGTTTTCTCTCCTCTCATTTTTGCAGAATTTACAGTCACCCAACTGTACATCCAGATTCGGTTAGTCTTGATCACGACTTCCATTCGGTCTAATTTGGGCAGCAAACATGTTCCCTGGCGCACACCGCGCTCTGAATCCTGGAGACAAAAATAACCGAGAACGAAGTTTCCTTCGAGGATTGCAGCTGGTTCAGCAACGCGTCCAGTTTTGCTGCGGGGTGTTTTTTCCGCCGATGTTTTTACCCACTCGACTTATCCACCTGTTGGAGGTGATTGTGCAAAAAGCAGCTGCTCCAGAAATAAACGCAGAGCATCCAGATGCCTGGCAGGCGGTCTGCGGCGCGCTGCTGCTGCAGACTGGTCGTGCGCACTTGGAGACGCATTGAACACTCTGGCACTGCAAGAGGGGAAGGAAAAAAATCCAAACAAGCGACTCAGCCAGACAGCTTCCATTTGAGAGACATGAAAATCAAACTTAGGGTACTTACACAATCCCAGTTTCAAATTCACCTTTACTATTTAGTATGAAAATGGAAATCATAACGCTGTTGAAATTACACTGGATTTTTATTTTTAATGGCAATTTTTTAGCTTCAAACGGACTGAAAAGCATTATTCTGGATACAGGTGTGTAAATATTTGTGATTCTTGTTCACCAATAGAAGCAGAAAACAAAGCCATATATACCACAAGAGCAGTATTCAGTTATCACAGACTAAACAGTACCAGGATTACAACCTGAACAACCAGTCAAAATCTCTGCAGCTGGTCCTCCATCAACCTAATTCTTGAATTATAAACGCTGAAGGAGAGAGTTTTGTTATAAAAGGTGAATATACTCCAGCTTGTCTACAAGTTAAAGTTCTGTATTCCACTTTTACACTGCAAACAAGTGTCAATGTTGCAGCTGTTTCAGGATGGTCAAATATAGGTTTCTGGTATTAGTTAAAAATTATGAATCATCATTTCTAATCCATTTGTTTGTTTTATTAGATATTGCTCTGCAGTGTTCCAGGTTTGCAAGTCTTAACAGAATGTGAAATATTACCTCTCTGCTTTTTGAGTGATCACTGACCAAGGCTGAATAGTAAGAAATGGCTCCACATCAATATTATTTGACATGTCTTTGAGGTCACAGCAATAGCTTTAGTTGACCTGCTCAAAACTAACATAGCTGGTTGACAAGCTTCAATGGGGCCCTAAGCAAAATTTGATTTTGGGGCCCTCTATTTCTGCCAATATATTGATTGTTTATGATTCACACACCTACTACAGTACAGATTTTATGCGTCTGACATTTCTTTACACATTTAAGGGGGTGGCCTAGGTAGTAACATAAATAATACTAATGCAACCATACAAATAATACCAATGAATAACTGATGAATGATGTTCAAGGTGCCACATGTGGTTTTTAATCTCAAAATGTAACACATTCAACTACAAGAGCGGCTTGGGGCTGATTTTCACAATATTCAAGTGATAAAGGATTGTGTTTACTGTAAAAGTATCATTGGCAGTAATCATAGAATCATCAAGAATCATAGGCCTACATCAGCAGCAGCACCAAAAGTTTTTACTTAATTTTATATTTGCAATAACATATATTTGATCGAAAAGAAAGCATCACTCATACATACAAAAAATGAAAAAAAAAATATTTAAATTTTTTTGTTTGTTTTTGATTGCTTTTGGGGGCCCCCTACTGGCCGTGGGGCCCTAAGCAGGCGCTTAGTTCGCTTATGCCTTGGGCCAACTCTGATTACAACAAAACAACATGCAAAGGTAATGTTAACCAAACGTGGTTTAACGTTCACTTATGTGGGATAGCCTAGTCACAACAGCTAATACAAGACAAGTTAAACACAGCAGCTAATATTAGAGTAGCCATCAAGCAATCTCTAACCCGTGTTGGTAGCTAACACTTCACTTTTTCATTTTTTTTGTCCCATAACAACATTTAACGGTTAAATTGGAAGTTTTTGAGCAGTGAATCTAGCTTTAAAAAGAGACTACAGCTAATAGCAACAGTCACAGAAACATTAATAGTCTGTAGAGCTAAAACCCATTTCAGTTAACGGTAAAAGGGTTGCTTTAACTGAGAAGTGTGTGAACGCTCACTTACACAGAAATGGAACAGTAAGCTTAGTCACAATACCTCAGGTTGTCCAAATACAATTTGTAGGGAGTGAACATAAGCTGTTGGCCAAAAATCCAATGCTGTTAATTCTCCTCTCTCTCGCTCTCTCTGTCTTTCTCTCTCTCTCTCTTCCCCACTTGCTGACTAAAAGACCTGTTGAAGTTGTAAATTCTTCCTGAAAGTGAGTATTGCTGGTGAACGTCACCTGACATGTTTATAGAGTCTCCATGGTCAGGCTCATTCCTTGCGTGTTTCCCCTGTGCATGTTTTACAAGTAAATCCATTTTGTCAGAATTCCAGTTCCACTGAAGAGTCACAATGGGACAGGTTTTGGACTCAGAGAGCCTTTGATTACTCACAGCCGTCCTCTGTCAGGATGGATTTACTTGGGCATTTGTTGGTGTGGACAGAGGACAAGGGTTTGTGGCTGCAACTGAACAAATGTTGTTTTTTCTCATTTTCTAAGACGCATGATATACAGGGGAGCACAAGCTTTACTCCCAGTAAGTAGACCTGATGCTTTTTTAACTCTGATGAATACTACAGGACATTTAGAACACAAACCAATTTCGTCATTATGTGGAAAAAAAACAACCTCTTTCCTAATCCTTGCACATTTGGCCGGCTCTCTGGGCATTTCCTGATCAAAAATAATTTAAGCTGTCGAGTCCCTGGTGCTGCTAATTTCTTTGATGTACTCTATGGTGTCATATCAAATAGCTGTATCCAGGGATAACGGGGTTCTATGTAATATGGCCTGAGTCCCACACAGAGACTTCTCATGAGTGAAGCAATCCTCCACATCTCTTATGCCTTCATTCTTTTTTATTATTTATTATTCAGTTCATTCAGTTATTATAACTATATATCATTGTACCAGAGGACCCCTCCCCTTTACAGTCAATAACCACATTAGTTAATCCAATCAATGCGGCACACATGCTCACAGACAGGCAGAACAGAAATAAACTGATCGCGGCAGAATCACAGGAGATTAGATTGAAACAAAGTGCCATATTAGTGACATGTTTTACTCTAACCATTCTGCAGTATTTCAAAGACGTGATAGTCAATAGCCAATTACGGTCAGCTACCACATTTACTACCCCTTGCTGTCCCTATTCAGTAAAGTAGACTCATGAGAATAGAGAGCATGTTAAAAAATGCCTTTAAAGCTGCAGAAGAGAGTCTCAGTGGCTGGCAGGTCAGAAATAAGTACATATCACTGATGCTAAAAATAGTCCTGAAGCTAATTCTTCTCCCATAAAAGGGCCTTTAAAGGGGATTGATTGTAACAGAAATTTACACGGCATCTGATACAAAGTGAGAGGAGGAAAACAAAACAGTAGACTCCTCTTAGCTCACACACACTGATTTATTCACCTTTGAATAGCTGCTTCATGACAGCTTTGCTTTGCTGGAAGGCGCAACATTTCCTGCTATTGTGCACTAAAGATCTTTGTTTATAGAGGATGCACAGAGGATGGAGTTGATTTACTCATTAACAAAAAGCATCCTGCTGAGTTCACTTAGAGATTCGTGTTTATGCGTGTTAACTCTCTGTTTCTACTTAGGCATGAGTACAGAGGTATGCCAACCAGAGGTCTTTTGCTCCTCTCTGTGATACCTGCTAAATCCCTCCCCTCTGTATTGTTTTGGTCTTGAATCTGCCTCAATAGAGCTTTTGTAGTGGATCTTTGGGGGGAACATATGGCATTTTGCTAGCTTAGCAAACAGGTTGCTAACTGGAGAACAGGCAACAGGGTAACAGGGACTGAATTTCACAAAGCATTCGGCAGCAGCAGCATGCTTTAGATTCGAGGGTTTTTGCTTCAGTCCTCTTATTGCTGCGTTGAAAGTGCAGTAACTTTTTAAAGCAAAACAAAAACAAAAAACAGGATCTTTGTATTTATCCATATATGAGCAACTAGAGAGGGGCTCTGTAGTTGATAGTTTAACAGATGGCTTTGTTCCCATCAAGGTAAGAGGAGACAAGGGAAAATGTTCAGCAGGCTGTTTCTGCAGCTACAAAGCAAACAGTCGCCCTCACATCTGTGAAATGTAACATGCCCGAAATGAACATCTAGTTGGCAGTGACAACTCCCTTTGTAGCCTTCCTCTTCCTCCGTTGTCTTCCTTTTTTCTTGTCTCTATCTCTCCCTCACTCTTTCTCACACAGCTGCAGGTCAGACTGGCTTTTGTTGAAAGCTTGACCAAAAGTTGGACAGCCCTCAGTTGCAGAGATATTTCTTTGAGTTTGTTCCCTGAAATCTAAAGTTGTGCTCTAATCCATAGGTTGTTTTATCTTCTATCTCCATGGAAACGCGCAGGCCACATGTCTGAAGATGATAAGTCACCCTTTCATGGAGTTAAACCACAACATGTACAAAACCAGTTTTTAAAAAGGCAATCATGATCATAGAAGTTACAGAAATCACTTTCTTCACTCTTGGTACATCTGTAAGAGGGTTTTTTTTTTTGTATAATTTGCTCCCAGGACTCCCTGAGGTGACTGCGGCCATCTCAGCTGTTTAAATCCCCATTACTCCTCTGCTCTGTGAGTGGCTACTAGGTAATTAAAATTGATCTGTCTCTATCCTCCCTGGAGATGCACCGAGGCTGAGACAGCCACCCTGACTGCCCCTGCACACAGTTCATTTTTGTTACAGGAGGTGAGCGTGGGCATTAGGCAAAAAGAAAACCTCAGCAATTTAAAGTGAAGGGCTACACTGACTTTTTATTTCTCTCAAATTTTAGAAGGACTTGGTCAGTGCTTGAGACGTGCACTCTTTTATAACTAATCAATTGCTGTTTTGCAATAATTATCATCTATTGGAAATCCAGTTAACGAGGAAGTCAGGGTGAATACTGGTTCTTTCAGTTCTCGTTGTTCTTTTACAAGTGGACGGGTTAATTTAAGCTGCAGGGCTGAAACTGTGCAGCCTTGACAGTAGGTTACAACACACCAAGTTTGGATAATTATGTTATTATAGGTTGCTTCTAACCTGAAGAGTGTATGTCCTCTACTCTCTTTTCACTGATGGTCTGTTATTGCAATATAAGTTTAAAAAACTTAACACTCTCGTCTAAGAGCTGATTGACTTTCAGTGTCCGACAAACTTGTTGCTCATGCTCAGCAGTCAAGTTGTGAAAAAAAATCAGGGGGGATGGTGGATTTTATTGTTTGGGACAGATACTTTGTTCTGATGACAGTGCACATGGTGGGAAACCAACTGTGTACCCATTTTATTGTTGC